GGTGTGCCTAGGTGCGGTTGTGCGACTAGGGAAGAGTCATTGATCTGGCTTAAATTAACGTCCAGATTATCAAAATTATATTAAAAAAAAAATGCGGGAGTAATTTGGTATTTTTGCATCTAGGTCAAATTTAAGGTGTTTGATTTTTGTGCTTAAGGTGTGTGGGCTTTGTGCTTAAGGTGTGTGAGTTTTGTGCTTAAGGTGCGTGTGGTTTGTGCTTTAAGGTGCGTGGATTGTGTGCTTAATGTGAGTATTTTGTTGAAACTTAAGGTGAGTGGATTTGCTTCTTATATAGGAAAGGGTTCGGGATGGCTTCCCGACATTAAAATGGCGCATTTAAGTACACAAACAAAGCAGCTTAAACACACAAACAAAACACCTTTAGGACACAAATAACTCACTTTCAAAACACAAATCACTCAACTTAAGTACACAACAAAACACTTTAAGAACACTGGATAGTAGGCCCAGCAGCTATGCAGGCTTCCCTTAAAAACAATTTATTTTGTTTTCTCTCTTTTAGTTAGTCAAGTAGTTTTGCAGGCGGCCAATAAATTAGTTCTGGGGAATCACCGCGTAACTCCACACTCCGACGGCGAAGCCACGTATTTTTTTTTAATTTTTTTTTCTTCTGTTTGTGCGGTGGTGCATGTTTTAACTCGTTCTGTCAGTTCTAGTACTGATTGTAATCTTTTGAATTCTTATTAATGCATTGATTATCGTATATTTTTAAAAAGATAGAATTGTATTATTTTTTTCTGTTTAAAATATTTTGTAACGAAGAGAAAGATAGTAACCATATAGCTAGTCATAATCAAGAACTAAAAGTCAAGCTAGTTGACTTTTCAAAATTCTTTCCAAATTAGGAATTTCTTTATATAGAGAAAATAGAATTTTTTTTTGGGGGGTTTTCCAATCGTGAAAAGCAATTGATTAAACATTTGATATGATCCTTGTATCGTGAGCATTTTGACAATATTAATCTTCAGGAAGATGAAAAAGTTAATTTTAATAATACTCAAAATTATACTTTTAAGATTATTTTGTAAGTTTGCAACATTATTTTTCTCCATTATAACTAATCTTGTATGCAATTTAAAGACGGTAAATCCCATGCATATAGAACAATTGCAAATTTACAAACATAACACTAAAATTATAAGCATTTAACAATTAAAATTAATGTTTTTGTCACCTTAGAATGGCTAGATAAATCTTTTGAAGTTACTTTGGATGAATTGTTCTTTCTTTTAGAATAAAAAGTCAAGCATTCAATTCATTTAAATACATTGAATATTGGCATTTTATGAATTATGGCCACATAGTCAATGCCATAGTGCATCAAATATAAAGTATGGCAATATTTCATAACGTGTCAATTTATTCTTTCCATAAAGTTAAATTTACAATTCAAGAGCCCTTCACGCTCTGGTCTAAAAGAGCATCTAGAGAAATTACATTTTTTTTATTTTTTTTATTTTTTTTTTATATGTGAGTTCTGTCTTTAATTTTATTATTTTATTTTATAATACACACTTCTAACTCTTCAAGTAAATTATACCAACAATAGAACCATTAAACTATGTTACATTTTTTATTTACAACACGATTATTTTAATAATGTCATATTTTTCTTCTATATATTTTTTCGTTTTAGCATTTTATATACAAAACAATTAATTGACAACCTCATTTCTTAAAATTAATTTTCTTTTTTAATTACGATATATCAACTATGTTTTATCCCTACACAGAACCTATTAAAATCAAATTCACTATTTTGCATATGAAATACCAAAATTGAGGAGGGTTAAATTGTAAGAAAAAACGAAATTACTAAAATATTGAAGTATGTAATAAGTAAAACTTAATGAAATTTAACATATTTAATTTGTTGTTCCTAGTACTAAAATTGCAACTTATTTGAAATTTTAAGGAATTTATTGTAACGGTGAAAAGTTAGAGATTAAAATGGCTTTCTAGCAAGAAATAATTGAGAGACTTAAAAGTAAGTTTTTAATATCAAAATTTGTAAAAATTAAAAAAGACGGTGTCTTTGATTTATAAAAATTTTTTGCAACCGATATATATCTGAATTTGTGAGTGAAACCCAACTTATAATCCTAGCAGACAAAGGACTACAACAAAATAAATCATTCTATATTGTTTGTAATTAACCGGCTAAAAAAATATGAGTTGTTTTCATATTGCTTTCTAGCTGGAATAATTACTCCAAAATAGACTAAATATTCCCTATATATAGACAGTGATATTATGATATGTTCTCAAAGATATCATCACAATTGTCGTTTTCTTCTCCGGGTTGGCAGCGTGAGGCGAAAATATCTTATTCAGCCGGCTTGTACGCCCGTAAGCTTCTTGTGTTTTCCTATCCTAACCTCGGACAGAACTAATCCACGAGAAAAGACAGAGAGGTGTTTGGTAAATAGCCGTTAATTGTTAACTGATTGAATTAGTAAATTTAATTAATTTATAGCATTAGTTAATTATAGAAAAATATTTAATAAAATAGTTGTTAATCGATAGCTGTTTACATGCAAAATAACTTTCTTAAAAGACTTATCGAAAAAGTTAATTTGAATAGTTTTTTGAATTTTAACTTTTTTTTATGAGCAATAAACTGTTACAAAAACTAATTAATCAAATATTTATATTGAATGTTTGACTAAGTCAAACAGCTACTAATGATTAAATAAGTTAAAATTAATTAATAATTAAAATAAAAGAATCTCGAGAGACATAAGGCTGGCAATTGGCATAGCATAGATGCACTGGCAGGCATCGGTATTTTAATATTTGGGCATCATCGTTCTCATCTGCTTCTTTCTATGCTTGTAAATTTCCAACAAAGAAAAACAAACAACAAATGACACATTACCCCATTTTAATTTTAAAATTTTGTCTGTTATTTTCGTGTGATCAATTCTCTATTTGAGTTTTTATCATTTTACTGTTAAGTGTTAACAAGGATGACCGAATATGTAATTTTATCATTCAATCCCCTCATCCTATCATGTAATTTCTCATTCTCTTGTAGTTATTTTATTAAATAATGAAATCACATATTAACATCTCATTATTATTATTATTAATATTAACAATGGAGTGACAAATATTAAAGAATCATTGATTATGTCATACAAATGAAAGTTGTGAATGTAATAAGACAAAATTAAATTAATAAAACTATGGGTTCATTTTTTTTTTTTTTTTGAAAATAGAACTTTTTTTTAGCTACTATGCCTTCACCAAGGCTTGGTACCATTGGGCCACAAGGTCCTTGGTAACTATGGGTTCATTTGAAAACTTGAAAAATGTCACTTCTAAATGCCATTTTATAAATTTTTCTGTATTTGTCTATCAACAAAAAAATACTCATTCAGATCAAAAGATAAATGACCCAATTTGATAGAAAATGTCTTGTGAAGAAATTTTACTTAGAAGACACTTTCTGGATTTATATGTCACGATCAATTCTCCCTCTCTCCTTCAGAGTGACGTCAAATGAGTAGGTTGACCCGATCAACCCACATAAAAAATTCATTTAATTTATTTTCTTTAAAATTATTATTATTATTTCAATTTATGTATTTATTTTTATTATAATAAGTTACAAGTTAAAAATTATTTATTTACATCTTTTTATTATAATTATTATTAATTTTTGAAAAAATAGTCAAATAATAAGCTCCTAAACTTTACTTGAAAAGTCAATTAAGTCTCTAACTTTTAAAAAATTTGTTAAATTGAAGTAATGAAGTCCGATGACCGACCGTCACCGATCGCCATCTACTAAAGAAGGCGAATAGTTGCATCATCACCCACAATGGCAAAATAAAAAACATCAAATAATATATAATTTAGTGCAAGTATTATAGATTTTTATATAAACACATCAAATATATTATCTTGATGTTTTATTCAATGATTACTCCTCATATAATTGACTTTACCCATCAATAAGATGGCAACTTGTGATTCATCATAAACGTAAAAAGAAAGAATAAAAAACTATTTATAGAATATTTGCCATTTTTTTAAATGTTAATAATGAGTTCAAATTTTGATTAACATACTTTCTTTCGTCCGTTATTCTAGGCCACACCCACAGTCAATTGTTATATTGTGAATCAGGACACACAGTGTATTGGGCATAGGGATGGCAATGGGGCGGGGCGGGGGCGGGGAGTATACTCCCCGTCCTCGTCCCCGCGACCCTGTCCCCATCCCCGTCCCCGTCCCCGTCCCCGGCGGGGAATTGAAAATATTCCCCATCCCCGTCCCCACGGGGAATTAGGCGGGGACGGGGATTCCCCATTCCCCGTCAACTATTAGTCAAAATGTTAAACAATTGTAATTTAAAAAAATAATAATAATAATTTAAGTTCTAATTTTAAAAATTAAAGTACCAAGTCTACAATATATATATATATATATATATATATATATAGTATACTGTAGCATTACTGTCACTTATATATACTATATACTATAATGGCAACATTAATTATATATATAGCTCATTACAGCATTAATGGTACATATACTACATATATATAGTTCATTACAGCACTGTACAGTACATATATATATATATATATATATATATATATAATTATTCGGGGACGGGGCGGGGCGGGGAGGGGTATCCCCGTCCCCATCCCCGTCCCCGGCGGGGAATCACACGTATTCCCCGTCCCCGTTCCCGTTTCTCGAAAATTTTCCCCATCCCCATCTTTGTCGGGGCGGGGATCGGGGATCCCCGTCGGGGACGGGGCACATTGCCATCCCTAATTGGGCACCCTAAAATAGTAAAATGTTTTTTGTTTCGTATATATAAAATTCTATAATAAAATACACATAAATTCTTAACACAATACACATAAACAAAAACAAAAAAAATACTATAAACAGTATCCAATGTGTCAACTACCCACAAACTTATAAAAAAGACGCCATTTTTTACCAGTACCCACAATGTCCGATATAATTTGGCACCCACATTTGGTCTCAACTAACTAACATTTGGACGTAATGCAGTGGTCCTTTGGAGAAATTGCGATCCCCCCAAAATCCAAGATCACATCCAGAAAATAAAGCATGAAAACCAAAAAAATGCAGGTCAAGAACATGGGAATAGGCCCAAAGATCCACAGAAACAATGGGAGAGAGAAGTAGAAAGCCCTCAGCCCCAAAGACCAGAAATAGCTTCCTCTGTTCACTATGCCGCCGACGTACTCCGCCGTCACGCAGCTGACGCAGTCGTCGCCGCCGTCCATGATTTTCTTGTACGGCACGTTGATGAGAATGCTGGCGTGGCTGTAGTACCTCACGGACTGCACGTTGAAGAAGAAGGCTACCAGGAAACACAGCAAGATTGAGAAGAATTTTACGCAGACGCCCACCTCGCTCCTGTCCCCCACCACCAGGCGGACGGGACGGTCGCCGTTGCCGTTGGTCATCATGACGGCGATGACTGAGCAGAGCATGATCGCCGCCGATGCTAGAAGCGTCGACGCCATTATGTTGTTCCTTAGTGTCTGCACAGCTAAAACCCCATTCTTGGACCAGTCCTGCATGTTATTCCTATGAAATAATTTGAAACACCAAAACTACTACTTGGACTCTCAAAAGTAACTTTTAATCCTAATTGGAGGAAAAACAAAAAAGGAATAGATAAAAATCACGACCCTCAATTATATTAAGCAATCAAAGCATGTCACATTACAATGAGATAAAACATCTTGCCCAATTGATCAACTCGAATCAGGAAGGCCCCTCTAGTCAGGGGTTGAACTTGTAACATTGACCTATGTCATCTACGGATTGCGTGACTGTGTTAGCTAAACCCAATGAAACTGGCTAGATTGTCTTAAAATGACTGGGGGACATTTTTTCTACCTTAGACGCTAAGGTCTACACGAATTAGGCATATTGACCCAATTAAGTTGGGAAGCTTGACGCTAAGCTTGGACTTGACTATGAAAAGAATTGAGACGATTCAAAGGGTAAAACTGATCGGGAGCTATTGATGTTCTCCTAATGAGTCTATGGCAGGGCGGAATTAATTTGGTACCGCATTAGGGTAAGAGTGCTCCGCAGGTAAGAGGGTCGTGACACCTAAGCTAGCGTAACTTGGCTAAGTTGCTCCAAAATAAGAGACTTTAATATCGTGTTTATGTCAGTAAATTAAAGGAAAGACGAAGACAGACCTCCATGATAGCGCGGACCCAGAAGACGCGGTTGGCGGAGTTGATGCCGATGACGGTGCGGGTGGGGTGGTTGAGAATCCGGTGGAGAAGCCATAAGTGGTAAGTCAGCATCACAAGGAGGCCTGCCGGAACCAATACGTAATCAAGAAATTCTTTCCCCATATATCTTGCCTCAAGCCTCAACTTCAATTCTCTCTTAATTGCTTATAGTGTAAAATCCCTATTGCATGGAAGTATAAATAGAGAGAAAAAAATAGGGACTTGCCAACCCCTTCATTTACCGTTTTACATTGGAGCACTTTCTTACGCAAAAGAAAGATGCATGTGGTTAAATGGCCTTGAAATGCAAAAAAAAAAAAAAAAAAAAAAAAAAACAAATTCCTATTCCAAGAATATATATACAAGATTTTCACCTAACTGAATGATTCCTGCACTCAATTCCATTCCACAAGGCCAAACTTCACTCAAAGTCTCAAACCAAATAAAAAAATCACGGCATAAAATATCGTGCCAAAATTCTGTTCTTTGCCACTTGTTAAAGAAGGCAAAAACCTAACCCCTAAATTATATGATTTTGATCATCATGGGGGCTGGCTCTGGATTCAACTCTGCCAATAATTTTCGCCATTTCTCTGTTGAGCAATAGAAAACCAAGAACAAGATCAAGAAGATTCCATTAGAGAGCTGAAAATATAAATTTTGTTAAAAGCTTTATAGAATTGAAGAACCATTCTAAATGCAAAACTAGTATTCTAATAGCTCACTAAAAAAGAGTGTTTAAAGAACTCACTATATGAAAAAGAAATTAAAACAGGCCATTGGCAAACATCTAAGAAAAAGAATCCTCAGACACCTATTTCATATCAAACACCCAATCTCAAATTGGGTTGTCATACGGCACTTGCATAATAGGATTTCTTCATCGGATTTCAGCACACAAATTACCATTCTAAAGCCAAGCACAAGCAATGCAGTCTGGATAAAGTGCAACAACACCACAACTTGATAATCATATTGTATATGTGATTCATAATTAGATGTTAATAGTGTATTAATTTTTTTGATCATCCCAATCAAATGCAATGTGTGGCCTGCCACAGAAAATCAAATCCTACAAATAAGGGAATAGGATAGGTAAGTATATGCTGAACCGCAAATATGCCAGAAAGGTGTTCTGCAATTCTCATGGTCGATATGTATTTCCCGTTCCTTGTTGGTAGCCATGTTAAACTTCTCTGCTCTACAACTGAGTCATTCACCTCATGCCAATTTCAAGATTTTTACCACCCTCTCAAGTTGTGAGCATCAACAAATGTCTTCAGCAAAAATGATGTCAAATATAAATTGCACTACAAAAAAGAAAGGGGCAAGTATTAACTTTTCGAAGGCTACATTAAATTTGTCGAAGGATTTATATGGGTTCACACATCCATACCATGCATCATTCAGATAATCAAGTAATCAACCAGCAAGTACAACTATACCGTCTATACAAAATGTACCATGGTGCAATTCAGTAATTGTGAAAAGTGTATATCCTTCAATCAAATTGCATTTCATATTTTTCTTTACAATTTAGTACCTCAATGGCTTATGATGGGATATTATAGTTTCCAGTAAGGTTATCTAATAGAAATTGCTGCTTAAGATATTGGTATGAACTATAAATGTATGCATGTTAAATGAAAAGTTTATTTTACAAAAAAAAACTGACTTCAAGAAAGTTCAAATGGTTAGAAAATACATGACAATCTGACAAAGGACTACCAAAATAGTTTTCTTATTCTGTTGACCTTGAGATTTTATACACACCTTCCTCTTTAGGGATGTTAGGCTGATCTACCAAAAGCTGCTGGAGGACACTTAAATCATCAGTAACACTGCAAGTAAGTTAAGCACCAATAAGTTCATAACCTTAAAAATAGAATATGGGTACTTTGAAAGGAAAAACATGTAACACAATGTTTTCTGAAAAATAGAAAACCTAGGTTTCAATGCAAGTGTTGAAGTTGCTGATACCAGAGACAATTTAAGACGGTACCTGAAACAACATAAAAATATTACTTTTACGAGTTCCAAAAAAATTTAATAATTGAATCATTAGAAACAAACTTTGAACATAAAAATGGTAAAAAAAAATATTTTGTCTGATGCAGTATGACCAGCTATTACCCCAATATATGAACACTAGCATTGCTATTAAGGAATAAAGCACAAAATTATTCCTGATTTTATACATAAAACCAAAATATTACTACGAATTTAAGAAAAGAACAACTATAGCAGAATCAACAAAATCAGAAGGGGGTAGGTGGCAGTACAAAAAGATAACTTGGCAGCTAATAAAATGCTCAAATATGTACACGCTTGATGATTTTGAAGCACATAAACACACAAACAAATAACCTATATATGGAGCATAAAGTTTGGTTCCAAGAAAGCTTGCTTACTCTGATTGGTGCATCTCACTAAGTATAGTAAGCCCATCTAAGCAATCTGCAAGGCTTGGTTTGACGCCAATTCGTTGCTGCAACTGTTTCACAGTTGGTTGAGCTGACCCGCCTTTTACTTGCTGTCTACTATCACGAACAATCTTCTCAAATGATAAAACAATGGAATGAAATCCTTCCCTAGATGCCATGACCATTCAAAGAGAAAAATCAGTTCCCAATTTAAAGTACAGCTTAAGATGTCCATGGTGTAATTTGTAATGCCCATGAAAGCCATAACAATACGCCATAAAAATGAAGAAAAACCTCTAACTGCATCCTCTCTTAACATGGAAATGCAAATATTTTTTTTGAATGCAGAAAACATAGAGAATAAACAAATAAGATTGAGTTCTGTTTAACTTCAAGAAAATTTTTGAGAACTGACACAAAGAAGAAAGTAGAGGAAATGGAGGTGCATACAAAGTCTTATTCATAGAAAGCAGAATAGTTTGCAGAGAATTCAACTGTTTTGCCAATACAGCATCTTCAATACCTTGAATACATTTCAAGGCACCATAGTTTTTTGAACCTTGAATCACCTAAAAAAAAAAAACAATACAATAATAAAAGTGAAGCAATTTAACTTTTTATTGAAAATTAAGTATTAAAGAGACCTGCAATCTCTGGATGATAGAGGAAGCGTTTGTGAATTGGGAAAGCAGTCTAGTATGAAGCTCCTCCCACCTATCAATCTCATCCTTCACTTTTCTGAATCTTTGCTGATATTTCTTAACTGCTGATTCCATACTCAAGCTTTAGAGCTGATTAGATGTCAAATCTACAGGAAGTAGATAAGGGTTAGGCAGGTAGGATCATTTTACCTAGGGGTGTAACTAGCATGGACCCAAGCGCTAATAGTTCCTCAAAGCTCAGCTGCTCAGCTTGAGGCCTGGCTCAAGCACGACTGAGCTCTATTTTTTATTCTACTATAATCAATTTTTTGAATTTTTACTATAATACGGAGTATTATGCTTAATTTGTGTCAAAAAGAAGAAATTAATTGTAAATTTTACAATTTCTTCTTTTATAATTCTCAATATGGTAGTATATTGTACAAAAGATGTTCACAATCGAACTTTTTCTTTTAATCAAGCAGAGCCTGCGATCAGGAAAATGAAAAGATGAAGAGCGAGCGAGCTGTCCCGAGTTCGTACCTGGGAGAAAATTCGCTACTTCGAACTTTTCAGAGTGAGCTAACCCGAATTCCCTTCAAAAGCACTTCAGCCCTAACTTGATCGTTCACTTGAGCTTTATAAATAAACCTCGCTTCATCTCCTAAGTGCAATGCTTCGCCGGAGCAAATCGATTTCCCGTCGATGATGTCGCTCCAAACCCATGACTAGCTTTCCACAAAGTTATCATACAATATTAAAAATCCGAACACTAAACAAAAATGAGAAAATTTAATCAAACTAAGAAAAACTATAATAAGCTAGTCGTGGGTTTGGTGTTCGAATTTTCTTTGTTTGAACTTTGAACACATTATCAAAACATTGTATTTAGATTGTTCAAATACAAAATACATTATAAATTTACGATACAATGTTTATGATGAAGTACGAGATAGTACTCCTCTACACTCTCTCAGATTTTCTCAACCATAAAGAAAAACACCTTTTTTTCTCCAAACACCAAGTGCAGAAAACATTTTTAAAAAGATTATTAACACTGTACAGAAACACTACATGATAAAGTAACTACAACTACAAATGGAAAAGAATAAATCTGCATCCTAATTTTAATCAAAATGCTAGATGCAGATTGTTCAAAGAAAATCATAAACCATTAAAGTTCAAGTCACTCTCTTTTCTTAATTTTATATTTCACCAAACTGCATTAAGTGGCTCACAACAGGCTGGAATAATTTTTTTTTTTTTTTTGGAATCCACAACAGGCTGCATTATTACTCACACACATCAACTACCATAAGTTTGGAATCCTAATTTGGCTACACTAATACAGACAATATGAAATGATAAATATATGAAAATAAAGACAATAATTTGGAATCCTAATTTCGTACTTCGTACTGTATTCGTATCACACACATCAACTAACACAGAGTTACAGTCTTACATAATACACTAATACAGACAATATACATACAAATACATTCAAAATTTAGAGAATTAGGGATTTGTCAATTATCATTTTTATGGAATTGGCCATTAGGGCAAACTAATTAAGAGAATAAAGTTGAAGAATAATGAAGATTGGTTCGAACCTGAAGCTGTAAATCTATAATGGTGAACGGACGGAGCCACGGAGGAGAATAGCCGGACGAAGGTGGTCGATGGAGGCGTGGAGTAATGAGCTGCGAATCTGCAAATCTTCGATGAAGAGCTGCTGGCCGCGGTCTGCGTAAGATTGAAGAAGCAACGGGAAAGAAATATATATATTACACTGACCCAAACGTCGTCGTTTTGGGCTGCAATAATTTTTGACAGTGGGCAGGTCCGCCCTTGTCCTTACTTCTCACTCTATAAATACTGTCTTCTCCCCCTTTCCTCTCGCCATTTTTTTTGCTTCACTATAGGCGTGGTGCACAGAGAGCTAGAGAGAAGGAGGGAGGGAGGAGGAGGCTAGAGAGAGAGAGATAAGGTGGTACTCGGAGAGCTATCGTCTCGTCTCGTCTTTCCGCTGTGTATGTTCTTTCTCGGGTCTCTTTCCTGTCAAGATTTTCTCTTTCCTCTCTCTCTCTTTTATAATCATTGTTCTTCGTATTCATGGTATGTTAAATTCCATAATTCCAATAGTGATTGATTATGGGAAAAAAGGTGTTTCCTTTTCGTTTCTTTAATTTAATGTTATGTTTAGCTGAAATTATATATAGCATAACCTAGGATGCAGATATATTGTCGTTTTCTACGTTGAATTCGCTTTGGAAGTCAATATTGTGTACAGGTTTAGCCAAATAAGGTAATTGTTTAGTAATATTATTGACGAACTATTTTCCTTCCATGAATGTAAAGAGATAGATTTATGCATATTACTTATCGTCTTGTAATTTCGATGGAGATGTACAATGTAATTGTTCAAAGATGATATCTTTGCCATAATATGGCTCGATCTCTGCGCTTTCCAATTAAGTGCTACAGTTTTTGTTATCATGATCTCGTTCTATATGTTGGGTAAGCTGCATTTTCTTGTTAGCTGAAGCTTGATTGGCAAAGTAGTGCTTGGGAATTGGTTCCCGATTTGATAAAATATAGACTTCCTAAAGTTAAATCCAGGGCGATAGTTTAACATCCGTAGTGATAGAGCATTGGTCCTTCCAGCATATGTTGATGGTTTCTCGTATTGTGGTGCTCTACAGACGTTGAGCGCTGGGCAGCTAGGTTGTGGGACCCATCCGAAAACTCGCACTTGAAGATTCAGTGAAGCAATGGAGGTATTTGGCAAATCTATGGTAGCCGTGCCTACGAATGTTATTTTTCTGTCGAGTATTCTTGGCCAAGATGGGCCGAACACTGTTCACAAGTGCGATTGGAAATGTGAAAACGAACATGTGTGTGGGAACATGTACAGATGCGGGCTAACTGGGGTGACCCACATTTGTGACAAAAACTGTACTCAGAGAATTTTGTATGACAATCATAGCTCCCTCTGCAGGGTGAGCAAGCAGGTTTTTCCATTTACGCCAGCTGAAGAGCAGGCTGTGAAAGGTATACGGAGGAAGTTTGATGCCGATAGTTCTCCCTCTGACACCTGTGCTTTTAAGCGCAGGCGGGATCGGGATGCAACTTTCCATCCATCACCGTTTGAGAGATCTTTCTCCGCTGTTAGTCCCCATATGTAGCCAAGTCGGAGATGGAATGGACATGAACTAGATGTTAACCGATTATTCTATTTTGCTTTTTACTTTTTTAGTATGCTCTCATGAGACAATAACGGAAAACACTTTCATAAGACCATCTATATATGGCAGGCTAGATCGTCTTGCCAAGTCTGTAGGAAAGCACTTCCATAACTTACTAGGTTATTTTAACTCTATTATGTAGCTGGACTTATTATTATCACATTTGAGCTCCTTTAGCGCAACATTAAAACTCAAATCTCTGACAAAGTAGCTCGGTATTTGATTTTGTCGGTCCATTGCAGATCTTTGTTCATTGTATTTTCAAGTTTTGGTGTTATTGCTTGACCGAGCTTTCTTATTTTGTATTGATCAGCACCATCTCACAAATTCCTTTGTGAGGCGTTACTTCTTTTTTTTTAGTGTGTTGCCCTGATTCATTTCCTTTTCTTGCACTGTTGGTTGCCTCGTTTTGCAGAAATTTTCCATTTCAATTATAGTTCATTTCTTTATTGAGTTTGTATAAGCTAACCAGATCTTTATTTCTTTGACTTTCTGTGCTTTACAGGTTTAGGTATTAATAAGCTGAGCTCGTTTCTGGTTCTTTGTTGTTTAGTTTTTTATATGTTATTTTGTGATTTACCAGTTATATATGTGGTGCCTAAAATAATGTTGTTTTTGCAGGAATTGAAGGGTTTACAATCGGGAGAGTTGATATATAACTTTATATATATAGATTTGCGTTAATTAGAAGTTTATTTACGAATATGGCAATGAGGTTTTTGATTATTATTGTGTTTTTTCTTTATGCAGGATAAATATTGCCCAATGAAGTAGTGTTTCTTTGGAAACTCGGAATTCCCAATTCCCATAAGTTGAAGCCTCATCGTCAAAGGCATGTTAACAATGAACTTGTGAAAGCTAAATCCTAAACCGTTGTTGAGTGATCGATGTGCGTAAACAGATGCCCTGCTACTGACTAAACATCGTAATTACCATCTGCAACTACCAGATTCTCGAGATCTTCAGGTTTTTCCAAGGTATTCTCGGTCCTGTTTTTAGTACACATTAAGTGTTACAGTTACAATTCCAGATGTTTTGTTCTAACAGTGATCTCGCAGCGTTTTGCAATTTCATCTGATAAGTTCCCACTTTAATTTGCAGCGAGTCTAGAAGAAATTTGTTGGAATCTCAACGTATATATACCTCCAGAATCTCAGGATAGAACAGACATTCTTGTGCTTTTATTCCTGTAATTTGCAATCTCTATACATTCTATGAAGTTGCATTGAGTGGTAGCAACTAAAAAGAGGTTTTGATCTTTAATTTCCTTGTGATTCTCATTTTTCTTTGTAATCAAGAAATGAGAAATTTTATGGGTAGGGTGTAGATCATTGTACATAGTATTCTCTTTGAAGTTGCATTCTATATATGATTAATGTTGTCCTTTGCCCATGTACATAGAAAACTGATTTACTTTCAGAACAGTGGAAATTTCACATTTTTGCTTTCAATCAAGATGATCCATGAAGAGGGTAAAGAAAGGAATTGCTTCTTGTTGAGGCCACCCAAGATATAAGGACAAAGAAACCCTAAACCAAAACTGTGATATTGCGGCTGATGAATTTCTTTAAGCAATTTAAGTATTTAACGTCATGGATTTTGGTATCTCCTATGTTGAAACTTGAAACTTGAAACCCTCTTCTTCAATGAAAAATATTGACATATGGTTCTCCCAGGGTTCATACTCCTGTTGATCAGAAACCAGAATACTATGATAACATCCTGGAAAACATGTCTCATTTCATTGCTTTTCTCAACACTCTTTTCATACTCTTCTCAATGTACATTCATCATTACTAACAATTGTCCATATACAATATGGCCCGGCACGCTAGCCGGTTCAGGAACGCCTCAACTTTCCACAACCGGATTTCAGTTGAATTCCGGCCAGACTGCCGGCATCTCTTGTGTTCCGGGGTGGTCCGGCCGTATCTGGGGCAGGACCGGTTGTACCTTTAATGCATACGGCGTTGGCTCGTGTGAAACCGGGGACTGTGGCGGAAAGCTCGAATGCGACGGCATCGGTGCCACTCCACCGGCCTCGCTCTTCGAGATTACCCTCGGCACGGGAAACCTGAAAGACTTCTACGATGTCAGCATAGTCGATGGCTACAACTTGCCCATTGTCGCGGCTCCGCTAGGGGTATATGGACAATGCAATGCCACTGGCTGCGTTTCCAATCTCAACAATGGTATGTTACGTTTTATTTGTCGTGTACTAAGTAACGGTTTAACCTTTTAGTTAAAACGAAACAATTCTGGCAGGGTGTCCCAGAGAACTTCAAGTGGTCGGTGGGGAGGGCGGAGACGTGATTGCGTGCAAGAGCGCGTGTGAGGCGTTTGGATTGGACCAATATTGCTGCAGCGGAGAGTTTGCGAATCCATCAACTTGTCAGCCATCGTTCTATTCCAGCATCTTCAAGAGAGCTTGTCCCAGGGCTTATAGCTTTGCGTTTGATGATAGAACCAGCACCTTTACCTGCAAGGCTTATGAATATCAAATCATTTTTTGCCCCAACAGGTAAGACAACCTCTGCTCCATTGACAAAAGTTTACAGATTTTAAGACAATTTGATCAAGTTGATTAGACGGTTGACTTGATAACTATAAGGTTACAAGTTCTACTCTTAGCTAGAGTGTCCTATTGACCTTATTGGTTTGAGCCAGTCACTTATGTATGACAATCTAAGTTGATTTATCTCCAAAGGCCAGTTTTACTAAGATTTCTCTAACGTGACAATTGATGTTAGTGTCAATAATATTAAGGCTGTTTGGTAACATAATTAGCTTATCAGTCAATTTTAGCTTATTTGACCACTATTAGCTGTTTGACTTGGTTAAACAGTCAATATAAGTGTTTGATTAATTAGCTTTTTGTAACCGCTCATTGTGTTAAAACGCTAAAATTCAAAAAACATATAAAAATAGCTTTTCGATCAGTTTTTTGAGAAAATCATTTTCCATGTAATCAGCTATCAAAACATCTAATTTATCAAATATTTTTTTTATAATTGACTAATGTTATCAACTAGTCAAACTTACTAACTCAATCAACTATATACCAAACACCCCTAAATATGATTAGGTATCAGATTATTGGCATCAGTGTTGATAAATATAACTAAACAATATAACTAAATGTAGTTTATATGATTATATCGACATTATGATAACCTCAAAATTTGTTCAAAAGTTTGCAATCTACATTTCTTTTGTTTTGTTTTTTTTTTCCCTAAAACTAATTAATTTACTCATATACCATGACCAATAGGGGTAACAGTGCAACGAGACATCCTCCTCCTCCATCTTATGGCGGTGCTCCTCCGCCTCCTCCTCCGCCTTATGGTGGTGCTCCTCCATCTTATGGCGGTACTCCTCCGCCTACTCCTCCATCTTATGGTGGTGCTCTTCCTCCACCTCCCCCGTCTTATGGTGGTGTGGTTATCATGCCTCCGCCCACTGAAGAAGAAAGCAGAAATGGAAAGTATGAAGGAGGGATGGTGTCGTCATCTTCATCAAAGAGTCTGCCCTTCACAGCATTGATTGCCATCTTTATTTTCAGTCTGGTTTTGCAAGCATAGGCTTGGCAATAATGGTTATAACAATTGGGTTCATGCAATCAAGATGTTCATGGATATATATATATATATATATATATATAGATGTTGTGCAGATAATGAGTGTGAATTAATCAATAAGATCTGCCATTAAGTGAATGTCATTTTGCTATTATTTTTTGTCTACATAGATCTTATTAATCTTTGGGAAAATGGCACTTTTTCCCCCTATGTTATATACTTATAGCACTTTTTCCCCCTCAATTATTTAAGTGGCTCTTTTTCCCCCTGAAATGTTAAATGGACATATTTACCCTTAAAATAAATATTTCATTTATTTTTATTCTCCAATAAATTATTACTATAATTTGGTTCAAACCAGATACTATAGTAACCAAACCAAAATATTCCAATTACAATTTATAATCAAAACGCGATATTTAGAGTTTATTAAAATCGCGAACTGGAATGGCCGGTTCATGTTCCGAACTGAAAAAATAAAATACATTTATTGTTGAATTTAAACTATTTTAAAATAAAAAATAAAATTTTAAAATAAAGACGGTTCAAAATCACGAACGGGATCCGGAACCGCCGGTTCATGATCCAGTTTTTTTTTTTTATTCTTAAATTTAATAAATTGAAATCCAAATATTGGGTTCTAGATCTGAATCATAACTGAAAACTTTTAATTCGATTGCTATAGTGTCTGGTTCAGTTCGAACCGAACCGTGGTAATCGCTACATATACGCAATAATTTGTTGGAGAAGTAAAATAAATAAAATGTTTACTTTAAGGGTAGAAATGTCAATTTAATATATTAGGGGGAAAACCACCACTTTTAAAATAATTGAGGGGGCTAATGTGCTTACATAAATAATTGAGGGGAAAAAAGTGCTATAAGTATATAACATAGGGGGAAATCAAAATTAAATAAATAAATAAATGAAGTTGATGTTCTCCGTCCACTAATGATTTCATGGAGCACCATTACCAGAATAACAGGGAAAGATCCATAAATTATATAGCACATTTGTTAGGATTAAAGACATATTCTACCAACTAGTCTAACTCATCCCTTAATTTACATTTATCTTTTTTTCATACTAAAACATGTAATATATATATATATATATATATATATATATATATATATATATATATATATATATATATATATATATGAGGCGCGGCTGTTTCCACTGTAGCTCCGCCCCTGATCATTACAATTTTAAAATTATGTACCTAGCATAGTTAAAATGTATTACTTTTAAGTATTTTTATGTTATATCTATTTTTCTTATTATCCATAAGCTCAATTCATTTCTAATTTTATAATTTCTTTAAATCCTTAATTACACCCTAAGAAAAGCTTAAAGTCAAAGGTTAAAATCAGATATAACAAGACACCTTAAATTGGAACCACCTTGTTGCGTTCACATATATAAAGGTTGAATTGAGCGTGACATTTTAGTCTTTTAAGAAATAAACTTTAATTTGAAGCAAAGGGAGGCAAGCGTTGAAATGGCAAAATCCATGTAACTGAACCCAACTCCAAGGGGCCGTTTCTTTTTGTAATTTCCACATAATTAAAATCTTGAAGAAAACAATTATCGAGAATATGTTTGATAGGAATCAATTTATTAAAAAATTTTGAATTGATTCATTTAAATTTCTATAGAAAATTTTGTTAGATGACTACTTCAAATTAAAAATGTCAATGTGGGTTCTTGCTAGAAGTGATATAAAATCTTCTGATCTAACTCTAATTTGCACATATTCGATACTATGGGGGCAATTGAACTGGTCTACTTGTTAGTTTGGTAACCACAAGATTTCAAATTTAATTTTAAAGGGGAATTACATATTAACCTTCTCAGTTTAAATCGGTGAATTATGACTGCAACTTAAATTGGATTGTCTCTTTATGATACTTTTACTATTTTTTTTTTGAAAACTAAAACTAATAAATTTATATTAAATACCTAAAAAGTCTGAGTACACAAAGCGAGAAACAAAACGTAGAATACAATAAAAAAATTAAACTAGCCCCATATATGGGTTACACAGAAATTTTTTACAAGATTTTTTAATGCTAAAATTACAAGATAGACTTTATTATAATGCACATTCAAATAGTAACTACGAACTTTTTTGTAAATCAAAGATACGGAGTAACATATAACAACTTTAGGCAATATACCCGAATTTAGTAAGCAATATACCAACCAAATAAAAATAAAAATAAAAACAAAGAATTGTTTGCAGTAAAAAAAAAAAAAATGTAATGGAAATGGTAGTATGATTGCTCAGGCGAGGCCCCGCAGCTTACATATGCGCCTCTCCCTCTCTCTCTCTCTTGCAGGCCGCAGGCTACACCTTCAGTTTGACGCGGAATCTCCCTTCCATTGTTTCCTTCTACTTCGGGATCTCTGTCCCTCACTTTTCTCCCAAGTAAGACAATGTCAATCATTCTTTAGCTTTCTCCTTTCCGCTTTACTTTCCTATTTCTTCACGCCATTTTCCTCATCGTCAACTTCGCATTCCATTCACTTCATCGTTTGATTCTGATTCTCTTTTAACGACGACTTCCGCCATTTTTTGTATCCATCAGTTGATTTATCTTGAACCCTGATCTATATTTCCGTGTGCTTTACTTACACCTGCTGCTTCAGTTTCTCTCATGGCTGCTGATCTAATTTATTTGTGTTCAAACGTGTTTAGTAGTGATTTTGTTAGTTTATTCTCTGTGAATTTATGTTATTTGTAGAGATACTGTATGTGTTTTGTATATATACGTGCAAATCATTGTATGACATTGTGTTTGAGATCTTTATCTAATTTTTGAAATCTTGCTTAATTATGTTTGGTACTTTTCAGGTGTGTGTGTATTTCCACAGCTTAAAGATATGATTGGAGAATTAAGAATTCTTCATGCTGATTTTTTTTTTTTTTTTTTTTTTTTTTTTTTTTTTTTGATATTTCATATTTGAACCAAGAAGTTGGACATGGTTGAGGACAGGAAATAAGATTGATGCTCCAAATTTGTTTCCATGGATACACAGAGTTACCCTCAGGGTGAATTGGGAAGGTTTGAGCAAATTATTTCCCAGTTTCTTTTGAAGAGCTTGCATATAGTATTGGATTCAAGGATTCCTTCGATGCGACCATATGGACGCAGTGGAGAACTGAAAAAGAGTGACAGATGGTTCAATTTGGTGTTGGGGGATCGTCCTGCTGCTCTTGATAATTTGAGTTTTTGGCACAGGAATTTGATGGAGCCAATGATTATTGATATAATGCTGGTGCAAGACAAACCTAATTCTTCATCTGAGCCTTATTTGAGTTCCACATTGGGTGGGACATTATCGGAAACTGTTATAGAGAGGTGGGTAGTACAATACGAGCATGTGAGAGCTTTGGCACCACAAATTGGTGATTCGTCTTACAAGAAATCGTACAAAAAAATAATTTTACTGTTGCGCTCTCTTTATTCAATGATGAGGCTCCTTCCAGCTTACAAGGCCTTCCAAAAACTATCGTCTAGTCAGAGTTGTGATTTTGATATTAATTACAAAGTATCTTCATTTAGTGCTCCATTCTCTAGGGCAGAAGAGCAGCTGATGAAGGAGTATTCTTTTGTTCCAGTTGAAGCTCAACAAGGTCGCTTTTCTATATCTCTGACATATCGTGATAATCTCTCTGATTTCAACTTGGAGACTTCCTCGTCTTTTCCGCCACAGATTATTACAGATTATGTAAGTACAGATCATATTAGGTCATTCCCTTCCACCACATCAGATACTACAGTATTTCCATTGAGACGGATGCATTCATCTCCTTCAACACCACCACAGCGCCCGCATAGTTGGACAAGTGGTCTCCACAAGGGGCCTTCTGTATCTCAAAACCAACCTTATGTAGGTTCTCCACTGTCTTATCGCTCACCTTATGAGCTTTCGTCCTCACCAACTGATGTTTATGGCCAAAGGATTTCAAACTACAGATTGCCTACTCACCACAGAGCAACAAGCTCAGATGATTACCAGCTTTCACCTCCGTTCTCTCCATCTCCATCCCCATCCCCACCTACATACCTTTCAGGTGGAAATCCTATCAAGTCACGATGGCGTTCAGAAACTGCCCCAGTTAGTATCCCTCATCCAATGATTAGCAGAAGTTCTAGATACCTTTCTCCTAATTTGTCTGACCCAAATAGGCATTCACTTCCCCCTCCATCCCCCAGAAGTACAAAGCATGACTCCTCATCACATGAATCCCCGTCTGGAGTCAGGTCATTAAGGAAATCAGGGGAGTCCAGTTTTGGGAATACAATTATGAGTCAGAAGGTAGGCATTCATTCAATAATTACACATTACTTTTATTGATTCAATGTTGCTGCTGCAATTTTTTATTTGTAATGTGTTCGTCAGGTGTCCAGAGATACAAAAGATGACTCAGGCCGGTTCTCAGGTTTGCTATCTTCAAGTGGTTCGCCACGTGTTGGATTCTCTCGAAGTTCCAGTAGATTATCTTTCCAGGATGACTTGGATGACTCTGATTTTTCTTGCCCATTTATCGTTGACGATGTTGATACTTCTGATTCCCAATTCAGGTATTCTTTTTTATCTTGTACTATGGTATTGTTGTGAATATTGGCTCAGAAGAACTGAACTTCACATTCTCATTTCCATGAATAGGCATTGAGTTTCTTTGCGTTTCCATTGACAAGAAATATTTCATGCATCATACCGTGTCTGTTTTTTCGTAGTTACTTACAAAGCAGGGATTTATGATTGTTTAGCTGCCATTATTCTATTTTAATTTTTCAGGATGGTGGGGCAGTGTATGAAATAGTTGAAAGTAGGTTGTAGAGTAGGGATACAATTTACACAATAAGCATCTAAAGCAGAGGTTGTATTTGTTGCTTTTAACTTTCTGCTGAGCAATACTTTTGATGCAGAGGCTTATGGTTCAAAAAAAACAATTATTATAGTTGATATGGAGAGCAAGTATGTTAGAAGTAACTAAAATACCTTCTCTGAGAAAAATAATTTGTCTAAGAGTATTCTTAATTATGTAGATGTAATTTCCAGTATTCCAGATATGCATATCTTTGTGCAATGAATGGACAATTGGTTCTGTAGTCATCCTTGCTGAGAAAACTCAGGTTATGTGGATAGCCATGCCTTATCTCATACTTCCTGTAATCTTAAATTAATTTTGATCCCACATGTGAGTTGTCAACCTGCATTTTGTCAAATTTCCAGTAGTTGTTGAAAATGCTGCCTGGTTAACCTAAGCATAAGTTGGTTTCAGGATCATCTAGGCTAATGGTATTGATTAAAACAGCCTTTTTGTTCTGAAAGAAACATTTAGGCTTGTGGCTTGAAGGCTAGGACTTAGTCACTTGCCCCTACGATGCTCTGATATTTAGGTGTAAGAGCAACCACATTTGTGATTTTTTTGAGGTTTTTTTAGATCTAAAAACTAAGCTTGGGTTTTTACACTAATGGGAGTCATGGTTTTTTCTCAAAATTTTCTCCTGCAAATACTAGTTTTTTGTGGGTCCCATAAATAAAAAAAATTACGCGCAAAGCCCAGGCTGGGCGTGTAAAACTACCTTTTATTTATGTTTTTTACTTTTTATTTTGTTAGACATGTTTTACCCCTTTGTTTTCCTTTTCTTTTTCTCACATTTCCCTCTCTCCTCTCTTTGGCTTACAAAAAAACCTCAACAAATGAGGTTGCTCTAACTAAACATAAGCTGGTTTTACCTGGCTTGTTTCAACCCTTTTCCATCACTCTTCTATTTCTTCTCGAAGTATTGATATTTTGCTGCTGTTTCTGCACCTAACTTGTTTAGATACTTGCACAGTGACTATAAGCACTCAGCATTACCTCATTTTTTTTTCCAAATTATAGAATTTTTCTTGTTATTGTGCAGCAGCCAAAACCCTAATGCCAAGAAGGATTCAGAATCTTCTTCACAAGCATTTCAGGGAAGCAGAAAATCACAGGATGCTGCTGTGGGTGCCCTTGTTCAAATGCTCAAGAATGCTCCTCCATTACGTCAAGATTCTAGCTGCCACTCCGTAAAGACTGAACTGGTGGGAGGAATTGGCGCTGTTTCCGAGTTCTCTGGTTCTCGGAAGACTTTGGATGCATTGGAGGAGCTCAAAGCTTACAAAGAATTGAAGGAACTTATTCTTTCCAAGAGTGCAACCAGAACCAGCTCAGTCAGCAAGAGCTAAACTCAGCCTGCAGAACTATGATGCATATACTCCACTTTCACACTGCTACATGGCAATAGGACTTGAGACGGTTGATCTATAACCTAACCAGGTAGGTATTAGTGGATTGTGTACAATGTATATAGCTGCTGACACAGGAAAATGTTGTATTTGCTTAGCAAGAATGGTTTGCATCTGGCAAACATCATGAAAGTTGTCATAGCATTTGAATCATCCTACATTCCTACCACATAGATAAGCCAGAAATACTGTCTTGTGTATATTAGATCTCATGATCTACACAATATGATGAGAGAGGGTGTTCTTTCATCATCATGTTCTTTGCCAATCAAACAAGAACCTCTAACAATCTGAAAAAACATAACTGTTTGGTGAAGTTTATTTACAAAGTAGATTGTTATGATTTTAGATAAAAAACTATGACAAATATGGGCTATTACCATAGTTGAAAAAATCGCTAGGCGTTCGTGTATTTTTTATTTTTAAAAATTTATTTTAAATTTTGTAAGACTTATTAATTATATAAACTATTTAATACTTTAATAGTTAATATTAAAATATTAACATAAAAAACATCTAGAATTTGCACAAGACTCAAAAAGATGTCAAGATGAAAATAATAGCGAATCGACTAACTAGGCGACCTAGTCGGTACCTAAGAGGCCTAAGCAGTCAACGTCTAAGCAGCGCTTAGGTGGCCTAGCCGACTAGCCGCCTAAATCACTGATTATGGTGATACACTAAGCGGTCAGCTAACGTCTAAGCAATCAATGCCAGGGCAAGATTTTTGCAAGACTCTATTACCCTTCATAACTAAATATACATAATCAATAAAAAAATATTTTTGTTATTTTAAATAACTAGCCATTTCAAAAAGCCTTCCCATTTATATATCTGTAGTTGAATTGAATATACACGCATGCGCGTACACATGTATACAATGTATTAGTCAAGAAAAGGAAATACTAAAGAAATGTTTCCATTCCATAACACAGCACTACAACAGCATAAATGATATATTAAGCAAAATTCAACCAAATACTGCGATGATGTCATGGTATACAGAAACAAAATCCAATGGTCACGAGGATTTAAAAGAAAAATAAACACTATGTGAAATAACAAAATCCAATAAATTGCAATAACCAAAAAAGTAATGCGGCTCAGTTGATCCCATCCAACTCCAGAAACAACAAAAGCTTTGATACTTGCTACGCAACCCATTCTAAAATTTGTGGAGCTTTGTTCAAATCTCATAAACAATTTGATATATTGAAAATTGAGCTCCAAAGTTGATAGACACCCTGTAAGAAAGAGTCCAAGATTATGATCATGTCACTTATCATTGTAAATTAAGTATACAGCTCATCACTTATGCAGGTAAAAAATGTGGTAGAATATAAAGGATGCATTACTAATTATAGCTAATTAGTAGTAGGGGAATGAATAAGAAGTAAAATCCTGTAAAGCAGGATATGTTAACATACCTAGATTTTTCTTAGCGCCTATCCGTTTTGCCAGTAGAGCGCTTGCCAGAGAACAAGTGTTTTGGTTTCAGAGTAGGGATCGTTCTATCAGCTTCTCCACGGCGAGCATCCTTGTTCCTCTTCTTTGCAGATTTCTTAAACAGTTTTAGAGCCTTTGACTTTTGTGCAGTGTCCTTGAAGCCCTCCCCTGGTACCACTTCACCTGGAGGCCGTGACTTTGACCTTGACCTAGGTCTAGACATTAAGCGCAATTTTTTATTGGGAGTGTTATCATCAACATCCATTGCTTCCATACCCTCAGTGCGGTCAACTGATCTTTCCCTCTTTCGGCCCCGGGATTTGCTACGAGCTCTGTTGATTGCAAGACTTGGATCAAGACCCAGAGCAGACAACTGCCTTCCCATTCTCTCTGAAGTAAACTCCTTGTCCTTGTCAAATTTCCTTGGTACTGTTGGTCGGCTCTCCGCTGTACTCTTCTTAATCCTGTGCTGTTGAATGAGTATACTTTTCCTTCTCCTAACTTCAGCCAATGCTGCTTGTTCTTCAGGGGTCAGCTCAGCACCATCATCCATCTCAAAATCATCTTCTTGCTCCTGCCGAAGGCCTTCTTCTTTCTCCAATTCCTCAAGCCTTTGTAAGATATCAGGGTCAATAAAATCATACACATTGTGCCCATCAAGAATCTCTGGCATTACTTCATCCTTCCAAGACTCATCTGCCAAGATATAGTGCTTACTCAATTTAGCAGAGTATACACCTGCACCTCCATTCTCATTCTCCAGATCCCTTTCAAGCTTCCTCTTTTCTTTCTCTGCATCTGCCTCCGCTTTCTTAGCTTTAGCTTCCAACACAGCCTGAGGTATACATGGAGGCCTTTCCTTCTGATCACGAGGCTTTGGCATTGCAACATGAAAGCGGTTTAAGCAGTCATTTAACTTCTTTGATTTCATCTTAACTTCAACCCTTTGATCCAACAACCTTTCACAAGCAGCATTCTTCACTGCAATCACACCTTCCTCAGTCAAAGTACTCATAGTCAAAAGCACTCCTTGGTCATCCGTCGCTTCACCACCTTGGCCAATCACAGTCTTCATAGCTTCTTCTTTCATCTCCATGACTAGTTTCCTGTCTTGCTCAGATATCCCTTCCATAGGCTGCAAATCAGTTTTGTTGCAAACTATGATCAAGGGTTTGTTCATAAAGAGAGACTTGATACTGTGAAATAAGGCAGCTTGTTGTTCAATGCTGTAGCCACAAGACCCAGAAATATCTAGGAAAAACAACACGGCAGCTCTAAGATGCGCTAGAGCTGTAATACTGCACATTTCAATGATATTACGGTCCTCAAACGGCCTATCCAATATCCCCGGAGTGTCAATAACTTGATACCTTAGGTATTTGTAGTCAGTATGACCAACAAACAAGGACTTTGTGGTGAAAGCATACGGTTGCACATCCACATCTGCCCTTGTAATTTTGTTAATGAATGAGCTCTTACCAACATTAGGGTACCCACAGATCAAGATTGTCCTAGTATTTGGATCAATTGAAGGTAACCTTGCCATATGCTGCCTGATCTGTTCAAGATAAGCTAGACTGGGCGTAATGCGCTTTATCACAGTACACATGCGGCCCAATGCAGCAATCTTCAAAGACTTGCAACGATATAGTGAATCACCATACTTCAACATTTTTACATAATCCTTACAAATCTTAGAAATCAAGTTCCGTGCAGTATTTATTTGGCCAAGGGCAAGCTTGTAATGGTCTTTGTTGTAGAGAACGTGAAGAAGGTCACCATAGAAAGGATGGATATCATCAAGCCTGGGGAACTCATCAATGATGGTGGAAAGTTTCTCATAGAAATTCTGTTGGGTGTATTTCACTTTGCGCATATAAAACTGACGAATACGGGATATTGCATAGCCCTTATGAACAACAGTAGGTGTTTGCCGCTGTGTGCGAGAGAGAATGATATCAACAAAATCCTTCCCATTGGGAACAACAGTGATCTTTTTAAAATTATACTGCACCATTTCTTATTATCTGGTCTTACCCCTGCATCACATAAACACATAAATAAAACAACACAAATATCAACCTTAAAAAAACACTAGTAGAATGGGAAATCAGCAAATGAACCTTATTTAGAAAATGACCAATTTTCAGTCACTCGTGGAAATTTTCACACATCAAGGGCAAAATAAGAAAACTTGAACCTGGATTCTAAAATGAGGGTACCCTATGTTTATCTGTTATCTAACTACAAGTGAAAACTATCAAGAGAAAAACCACAACAAAACATACACTTTTGACAGTAATTATACCCAGATATATACACAAATAAAAAAGAGATATGGAGCAAGAATCAATCATAATCATATTTAGTAAAGCAAATAGTGACCCTTCAGATCAACAATTCAGTAACAAGACAAACAAAAAGAAATGGGGGAAAAAAAATCTTTACATTCTACATAAAATTTTAAAACCAAAAAAAAAAAAGTATTTATCTTACAAAATGAATAGCCAGCCAAGTGTACCTAGGCTGAGCCTAAACTCCTAAAATGAAAACAGGAGCTTTTATATAAAGAGGTATGCTTTGGATTATACAGCTTGGCCAGTATACTTTTTAGTTTTTACACATGATTAGTTGAAGACACCAAATGAACACTAACCCTTTCCCTTATTAGACAAACAGTAGTTAGACCGGGAATTTTAAAAGCAACTAACCATAATCAGACTAGGAACATCATGTCCAAACCAGGTAATAAACAAGGTATGAAGAATAATTGTACAAACGAAATCAAACACACCAGGAATAATGATTAAATATGCTATCTCTGGAATTTTATGTTCTTGTTAGTCCCAATAGAGGGGCATAGCAGTAGAGACAACTGGGCATTCCTCGCACTAAAAAATTCACTCAAGCTCCCTATTCTTTCGTTTTTGTTTTGAAATTCAAGTTATTTATCTACAAATAATCAAACACCTAAACATGCAACTTTCCTCAACAAAAATAATCATCAGTTAATCATTAAAAAATCCACATACTTCAGACTTAAAACACTCAGCATCAATGCAAATATGGTTTCAGAAAATCCAAAGGAAAAGTACAGCGGCGATAGAGAGAGAGAGAGAGAGAAGGAGGGAGAGCAAGACTCACCGGACTGGAAAACCCAGGTCGCAAGGGAAAACACCAAGGAGGAAAGGCGAGAGAGTATGTTGGGCTGGGAGAAACGCAGTTTTGAGAGAATGAAAAAGGAGGAGGAAGCTAGGGTTTATGCGGGGCAATTTTGTCTGTTAAGGACACTAAAAAACCTAAGCTTTATGCCTTTATGGGCCAGACCCGACCTGCCAAAATAAAATCCAATAGTTATGCCATGGACCGGGTGGAATTAACTCTTAGAGCATCCACATTTGTTGGGGAGAATAGGGGATAATGTAAGAGTGATTAGGAAAGAGAAGATGGGAGGGGAGAGAAAAAAAAAAAAAAAGGAAAATTAAATTTAAAAAAAAAAAAAAAAATTCAGACTGTCAGCGCGCCCGTCATGCGCACGCGTGGCTGTCACCGGTGGTGGCTTTTGTGGTGGGTCCCACCATTTCTGCATTATCTCTTCATTTGCAGACCAATTATTTCTCACATTATCTCTTCCCCACATTAGTTATTATCTTGGGTGGGGAAAATTCATTCTGAAATATCTCCCTATTATCCACAAATGTGGATACTCTTACATATATCAATCATTAGGTTGTGGAATCGTGTCCACCTTGTAAGGTGGACACGGTTCTATGTTCATAATTACTGAACTATATGTTTATAATTATAAAGCTATATTGTCTATATATTCATAATTTTTGAACTGCATATTCATAATTATTGAACTCTATATTCATAATTACAGAACTCTATGTTCATAATTATTGAACTATATATTCATAATTATAAAGGTATATATTCATAATTTTTGAACTTCATATTCATAATTACAAAACTATATGTTCAGAATTATGTTCACAACTTTATATTCATAATTATAGAATTATATGTTCATAATTTGTAAACTATGTATTCATAATTATAAATAGTTTTGGAACCGTGTGCACCTTGCACAGTTCCACAGCATAATTTGCCTACATCTATAAAACTGGTGGAATTACATTTTGTGGTGGAAAATAATAACATTTTTTTTTGCTGGTCTAACAGAAATAACATTGTGTGGTGGAATTAATCCAATAGTTTCCCTTGTCTTTCATAACATAATAATAACATTTTTTTGCTGATCCCCCTAAATCCTCTCACAAATTCGTATCAATGATTTAACGAGTGATTTAAATTATATTATCGTGTAAAATATAAATGACAAATAATATATTCATAAATCAACACACAAAAATTATTATTTCGTATAAATTATGTTTTATCATTCTATACACGAAACTCACAATATAATCATCAAATCATACCAACAAATTCAACACCCTTGAAAAAAAATTTACTGTTTTAAATAAGCTACTTTTGTCATTTACATCTAATGCCCAGACTCACAATGAAAATCAAATCACATATCATATCAAAACTCTACAAGCAGAGTGCATGAAAAATTGAAAAATATTATTATTAATGCTGATTCTTTGGTGATTTGTCACAATAGGTGACCAACAGATGAAACAAAGTACCCAAAAACAAAAAACAAAAAACACAAGTTTTAGATACAGATTTTATTGTCTGCTCTCAAAAACAAAAAGAACTCAAATAACTTTTTTTGTGCAAAGGAGACCTCTTAACAAGATTCCAATTATTCCTTTTCTCTTTAAGTTGCCATTTTGAGACCCCAACACCAGCAGAGACTGTGTCATTAAGAAAAGGATGTGAATCAGCTCCTGACAAGTCATCAAGCTCTTCACTACTTGTGCTTCGATGTCCAGCTGGTGCTTCAGATCTTACCAAATATTTAGGTTGTAATTCTATGGATGCAGCACATTCTGTATTGTTAAGTAAACAAAAGTCAGAAGAGAAAAAGGAAAACAAGAATGCTAACATATATCATAGGTGCCATTTTCTTATATTGCAATATATGTCTAGTGAAAAGCACAAAATTTTGTTTTTAAAAAATGAAAAATTAAAATGCTTGTATAGCTTCGAATCGAGTTCATCAGCATAATTTATCATCAAAACAAAGAAAAGTACTGAAGTTGTCACAGCCTTAAAAACGGCAAGACTGAAAGCCTTGTTCAGTTAAAAGGGTTATGCACAAAAACATGAACTATATGCTGACAATCACATAGGAAATAAAATATCAGCCTTAGGGCAAATGGCTCACTTTTCATGCAGGATTTAACTCTCTTTATCAGAGAGGTTGTTTCAAGGAACTGAATCCATGATTCCATGACCAAGCAGCCAGTAAATAAGCACTAGGCTACAAGCCCACCTGCTTAATGGGGAGGAATGATGCATTTCAAATCATCTTTTGGCAGATATTCTTTTGGTTCGTGTATATACATGCACACTCATGCAAAACTGTGAAAGCATGTGAATAGAACAAGAAATAAGTCAACATATACCTGAAAGTGTAGCCATCATCATCTGTATCCGATTCTTGAGAGTCACTCTCATGAGAATCAGTTTCACTGTAGAAGAGATTAATCTTACCACTAAATGATCATCTCCTAAAACAGACATAAAACCAGAACTCTCATCTCGCTGAAGGTAAGAAACTGGAAACTTTTCACTAGTCTGCAATACTTGAACAAGAGGACGGGCATTTATCATGCCTTTTGGCAGGACTTTCCTCATCACCAACAAATTCAACATCCATGGAAAAAAAAAAAATACTGTTTAAAATAAGCTACGTTTGACTTTTACATCTAATGCCCAGACTCACAATGTAAATCAAATCACATATCATATCAAAACTCCACAAGCAGAGTGCAAGAAAAATTGAAAATATTATTATTAATGCTGATTCTTTGGTGATTTGTCACAATCGGTGACCAACAGATGAAACAAAGTACCCAAAAAAAAAAAAAAAAAAAAAAAAGAAGTAATTCCCACAACACAACACATCAAAAAAAAACCAAAGCAAAAACACAAGTTATTAGATACATTTCAAACAACAGATTTTCTTGTCTGCTCCCAAAAACAAAAACTCAAATAAAAATTTTGTGCAAAGGAGATCTCAGGGCAGGGTGGGTTGTTCAGCGAATTCGGTTGACATGAGCGAAGGGCTCTGGATTTGATTTTGGTGCCTGTTTTGCTACTTCAGGGGTTCCAAAAACATTCCAGAATCTCAGTGTTTCATCTCCTGCTGCAGAAGCAACTGTGCAACCATCTGGACTCTGTAGATTAACAAAGAATGAAAAGTTAGACCATTATTTAGCACACAATGTTTAACTTCTCCCTACATTTTCTCTGAGATTTATATTTCATAGAGAAAAGATGATTAACCTGAGCCATGAAAAGAACTCGGGATGTATGTCCAGTAAGCTCTGCCATCTTTACCATTGATGGGTATTTCCAGAGGGTAAGCTGGTTCTGAGTAAATCCATGTGAGCTTAGCAGTTCACGCTCATTCTTGTTCCAGAGCAGTGCACAGACCTGTGATCCTGTGTCAACTGAATTCACACAAGCACCAGTATGGGTATTCCAGAGCTTTATGCACCTGTCCCCACCACCTCCACCGGAGGCCAGCAAGTTACCCTGAAATGGACACCAAGCAAGCGCCTTAACAGCAGCTGTGTGATCCTCAAGCCTGTGAAGCCACTGTGTCGAGGAGTTGGAAGAAGCTGTTGATCTGTCCCATATGTGGAGGAGATTATCATTTCCTCCACTAGCCAACTGCTGGCCAGAGGCAGACCATTTTAGGCCACAGACTTCTTGATGATGTCCTCTATACGTTTCTACAATAGGTGCTCTAATTCGGACATCATTGTTGTTAATCAGACCATCCATTCCTCCTGTAGTCAGTATATGATTGTTCCAGTCAAGGGCACCTACTCGTGATTGGTGGCCGCCTCTCAAAGTTCTCAACTGCAGCAGACAGCATTAGAAAAATATCAGTACAAATCCTGGAGACTCCAGAAAAGAAAACAATACCAAGAGAAGAGAGCTCAAGGAGCAGACCAATCGGTTAGCTGTGGTATCCCAAAGCTGCACATCAGAGTTGTTCAAGCCAATAGCAATATGCCTCCCGTCTGGAGCCCATTTAACACTTGTAACAGGACCATTTTCATCATCAATTGTGACCAGTTCAGAAGTGCTGCCTTCAGATGCATCCCACAGGTAAACAGTACTACCCAAAGCTATAGAAAGAACATTGCTGCTGCCCCAATCTAATAGATTCAAGTAGTAATCATCCACAATGTCCGGAGCATCCAAAGTCCTCTCAGAAGTCTGTAAAAGCAAATCACAACTACAATAAGAACAAGAAAGACTTTCATCCAAACTCCAGTATTATCAGGCAACTATGACCCCAACCTGAGGAATGTGACGCCTGGGTTTAGCTGGTTTGGCCTGGCAAGCAGTAGAAGTGAACTCGCTTGGGATGCGCTCCACAGGGGTGGGTGGTTTGTTCTTGAAAGCAAGTATCCGTGTCCGGTTCATGTTCAAGACCTCAGCGAGCTGTTTTCTATATGCTTCCCGGGACGGTGAGCTGGTGGCTGGATTTTCCTTACCTTTCATCCCTCCCGTCACCATATAATGGGCAAAGTCAAAATCCATTGCAGATCTATTAGGAATGAACCTATCCAACTATAAACAATAAACCAAAAAAGTTCAATTAGTTGTCAATATTTCCAAGATCCTGACTACTAAGTAAATAGAAAAAGGGGCACATCAAGCAAACTAAGATAATTAATGATTTCAAAAATATGCCTTCATATTTAAAAACTTACTTACAACCGTAAAATTAGATTTGGATAATTTACTAAATTAGATTAGAAATAAAACTCATTTAGCAAAGCAGATCAAAAGCAATGTCTATTGTCGTTACCAAAAGTTAACAGATGTACATCAATTTTCAATAGCAAGATTAAGATCAAGGTTCTACTATGAAGATTCTAAACATTTCCACTCACTTAAATTATAAAAATAATGTAGTAAGGCAGAGATATACATTTTCCCGAGAATTTTTCCTTTGCAGATACTGCTCGTGAAGAGGAAGACGGGATTGAGTCTTGTTTGATGAAGCGGAGTTCCGCAATCCTGCATCCATCACACCAAAGATACTACTACAGATACAAAATTTCAATTATGGATTATACAGGAAAAAAAATTAATTAACAAAAATGAACAAGGGTCCTGCAAAAAAACAATATTAGAGCGTTAAGAGAAAAAAAATAAGAACAACAAGAAAGCAAGATTGAAATTGTTGAAGATCGGTCAGCGATAGAATGAGCAGAGGTAGGCGAGAGAGCGCAGAGAGAAATGGGGATTGAGAGAATGAGAAATGATGCTCTTCAATTGAATTTGACGGGTTTTTATACTTGTGATTAGGGTTTGTTGAGTCCTAATTTCATGGATGGCAAAGTCCCAACGGGCAACGGCTATTTTCCAAAAGAACTGTTGTAATTTGTTTAGACTAAAATGCCCCTCCTCAGTCCTCATTAGTAATCAACTGCAAAAATTAGGCGGGCCGCAAGCTTTAATGGGCTCTGTAGACATTCTTGACTGGGCCCAGTATGTGTTTTGAATTTTGATAATCATTTAAGGAAAAAATAAATAAATTTTAATCCTTAATTATTGCTATTTTAATCCTTTATTTTGGCAATCATTATACCATGGACCAGATTGTATAATATGGACAATTGACATAAATGTTACTCCGTAATTTTTAGTAGGTTAAATATTCATTTTTTAAAAATTTATTTTTAATATATTATTTAAAAATAAATATATATATACAAAGTAGTGTATATTAAAAATAAATATTCAATATATTAAAATGTATAGCTATGCCATTCACCTTGCAATGTGAGTGATTGTTCATAATATAATTTGTCTTGTTTTTGGTTCTTGAGTTAATCAAGAGGTTGCATTTTTTGTCATTTGATAAGTGTTCAACGTTATATATAATATAAATTTCAATAATTGTGACCGAAACCTCTATAGATTAGCAAAGATGGATATTTAATATTGATTTTTTAAAAAGTTGTTATACGGACGTTTAGATGAAATATTGAATATGAATTTTACTTTTGGCAATTTAAAATTTAGTAGTAGCAATTAAATAAATAGAGTAAAATGACAATTCATCTGACTTAAATTATTTGTATCAATCAAATAATTATGAGTTCCATTTGGAAGATTATGAGTTCGAGCCTCAGTGGAGGCGTTATTGATTCTTTGTGTTTCAGTAGGTTGAGAAAGTATATGAACATATACTACAATGTAATAGAGCCAGTAGCTTTCAAAAAAAATTATTTGTATCAATCATTTAATTAGGTTGTGGTTGTCGTATGTTTAGTGCAAATTATAACATGTTTGACAACTCGTTGAGAAGTTACGTGTGTCATCTTTTTATAACAAGTCGAGTGAACTATAAACTTAAAAAAAAAAAAAAAAAATCTATAAAAGGTATTTGATTTTTGTTCACAGTAAAAGATGCAATCACTCTTCAACATGAATTAATAAGAAATTGAAACTATTTACCAAATTGAAAATTTGAAATACGATTTTCAAAATTAAAAGAAAATGAATTAATTGAAATTTCAAAGGCAGTAGTGCATGGTAATATTATTTCATATTTTATTTAGGAAAAATGACACTTTTTACCCTTGAGTTATATACTTATAGCACTTTTTCCCCCTCAATTATTTAGGTAAGCACATTAGCCCCCTCAATTATTCTAAAAGTGGTGCTTTTTCCCCCCTGATATATTAAATTGACATTTATACCTTTAAAGTAAACATTTTATTTATTTTACTACTCCAACAAATTATTGCGTATACGTAGGGATGACCACGGTTCGATTTGAATTGAACCGGATACTAAAGCAATCGAATTAATAGTTTACGGTTATAATTCAGATCTAGAACCCAATATTTAAATGTCAATTTATTAAAATTATGTATCAAAAAATTGAATCTTGAACCGTGAACCGGCGGTTCCGGATCTGATTCGTGGTTTTGAACCGTCTTTATTTTAAAATTTTATTTTTTATTTTAAAATAGTCTAAATTCAACAATAAATGTATTTTATTTTTTTTCGGAACATGAACCGTCCGTTCCGGTTCACGATTTTAATAAACTCTAAATATCGAATTTAGATTCTAAATTGTAATTGGAATATTTCGGTTTGGTTGCTATAGTGTTTGTTTAGTTTGAACCAAATTATGGTCATAATTTGTTGGAGAAAAAAATAAATTAAATATTTAGTCCATTTAACATTTCAGGGGGAAAAACAGCCACTTCAATAACTTAGGGGGAAAAAATGCTATAGGTATATAACTCAGGGGGAAAAAGTGTCATTTTCCCTTTTATTTATCATTAAGTCGATTAATGCAATAAATTTTGAACATTCGAATGGATAACAATTTTTTTTCCTTCCAAAATTTAAAACTATGACTAAATCAAGATAATTCAAATATAAACTAAATTAGGTTAGTTGGACAATCATACATGATACATCTTGGCTAACTATGATGTTAAAAGGAATTTAGAACTAACTCTTCTTTGGAATTTGGTAAGAATGGTAAAAAATAAAACAAAAATCAATCAGAGAGAGCAAAGGTCTTTTGCAGAATGAATGATATTGACCTTTATCTGAAATGAAATTTGCAAAATGCATTTATCTGAAATAGAATTTACATACCAATATTAAACATTGGGGCAGGATGTTTTTGAGCTAATTAGGCATCAAAACAACAAGACATGTACAAACAAATGAGACATTGTTCACAATTGATATGCACAGAAACTAGATTGGAGCTACCCTTGAAGTTAGGGTATATATTGCTTGGAGCTTTCAGCCATTGGTACCCCCCTGGATTTCATAAATGAAGTAGCTTGACCACCACACCACAACTGCCTTTATCTGATGAGTACTGGCTGTTCATAAATGATTCGCCTAAAAAATGCATTCGGAGACCTCTCAACAAGATTCCAATTAGCAAGTGATTGTGTCACATTACTTGAATTGAATGCTTCTTCCATCTTCAAGCTGGTGCTTAAGGTTGTAATTCCATAGATGCTTCTTTTCTGTATTGACAAGTAAACAGAAGTCAGAAGAAAAGGAAAATAAGCATGCTAGCATATACCATAGCAATATGTCCTACTGAAAAAGTGAAGTAGATTATTTTTTTTTAAATAAAAATTGAAAATTGAAAATGTCAGGTTCTTTATGAACTCATCAGCATAATTTATCATCATATCTCCCACAGCACCATTTTCTTTCTGTGCAGTATATGTCTACTGAATAAGTGAAAAGAGAAATTGTTTGTTTTTTGAAAAATGAAATATTAAAATGCCAGAACTGTAAAAAAAACTTGTGAATAGAAAATGTAATAAAGCAGACTTATACCTGCTGACTCTAAAGCCATATCATCATCTGTATCTGGTTCCTGAGAAGATATGAAATGTCAAACCAGGCAGAGGGTTATAATATTCAGCGAATTCGGTTGATGTGAGCAAATGGCTCCGGATTTGACTTTTGAGCCTGTTTTGCTACTTCAGGGGTTCCAAAAACATTCCAGAATCTCAGTGTTTCATCTCCTGCTGCAGAAGCCACTGTGCAACCATCTGGACTCTGTATAAAAGATTATTATTAGCAAACATGGTTATTTTTCCCCCCACATTTTCTCTGTGATTAATATTTCAGAGAGGAAAGATAAGAACCTGAGCCATGAAAAGAACTCGGGATGTATGTCCAGTAAGCTCTGCCATCTTAACCATTGATGGGTATTTCCAGAGAGTAAGCTGATTCTGAGTAAACCCATGAGAGCTTAGCAATTCACGCTCATTCTTGCTCCAAAGCAGTGCACAGACCTGTGACCCTGTATCAACTGAGTTCACACAAGCACCAGTATGGGTATTCCAGAACTTTATGCACCTATCGCCTCCACCTCCACCGGAGGCCAGCAAGTTACCCTGAAATGGACACCAAGCAAGCGCCTTAACAGCAGCTGTGTGATCCTCAAGCCTGTGAAGCCACTGTGTCGAGGAGTTGGAAGAAGCAGTTGATCTATCCCATATGTGGAGGAGATTATCATTTCCTCCACTAGCCAACTGCTGGCCAGAGGCAGACCATTTTAGGCCACAGACTTCTTGATGATGTCCTCTATACGTTTCTACAATAGGGGCTCTAATTCGGACATCATTGTTGTTAATCAGACCATCCATTCCGCCTGTAGTCAGTATATGATTGTTCCAGTCAAGGGCACCGACTCGTGATTGGTGGCCGCCTCTCAAAGTTCTCAACTGCAGCAGACAACATAAGAAAAAATATCAGTACAAAATCTTTGTGACTCCAGAAAAGAAAATAAGGCCAAGAGAGCTCAAGGAGCATACCAATCGGTTAGCTGTGGTATCCCAAAGCTGCACGTCAGAGTTGTTTAAGCCAATAGCAATATGCCTCCCATCTGGAGCCCATTTAACACTTGTAACAGGACCATTTTCATCATCAATTGTGACCAGTTCGGAAGTGCTGCCTTCAGATGCATCCCACAGGTAAACAGTACTGCCCAAAGCTATAGAAAGAACATTGCTGCTGCCCCAATCTAATAGATTTAAGTAGTAATCATCCACAATATCTGGAGCATCCAAAGTCCTCTCAGAGGTCTGCATAAGCAAATCACAACTATAATAAGAACAATTTTCAAATTCAAGTAAAGTTTTCATAAAAAAGTGTTAATCATAAACTAAAACTCCAGTATTGTCAGCCATTATGAACCCCCACCTGAGGAATGTGGCGCTTGGGTTTCGTTGGTTTGGCCTGGTAAGCAGCAGAAGAAAACTCATTTGGGATGCCCTCCACAGGGGTGGGTGGTTTGTTCTTAAATGCAAGGATCCGTGTCCTGTTCATGTTCAAGGCCTCCGCGAGCTGCTTTCTATATGCCTCTCTGGATGGTGAGCTGGTGACTGGATTTTCCTTACCTTTCGTCACCATATAATGTGCATAGTCGAAATCCATTGCTGATCTATTTGGAATGAACCTATCCAACTATAAACAAAAAAAAAAAAAAAGAAGAAGTTAGAGTTGGTTTGCCAATCTTTCTGAAACCCTGGCTTCTGTGGAAATTCAAGATCAAAGATAAAAGTGGCACAAGCAGAATTTGATCATTAAACCTTATAAAAATATACCATTTTAAAAAACTTACTCACAGCCCTAAAAATAATCTGGGTAAAATATTAAATCAGATTAAATTATAAAACCCATTTAGCAAAGCATATCATCATAAGCAAAATCCATTTTCAATACCCAAAAGATACAGTGAAAGTTAAACTAATCAATTAGCAACATTAAGATCAAGACAATATATACTCTTAATTTATTAAATCAGATTAATTAAATTATAAAAACCCATTTAGCAAAGCATATCATCATAATCTGGGTAAAATATTAAATCAGATTAAATTACAAAACCCATTTAGCAAAGCATATCATCATAAGCAAAATCCATTTTCAATACCCAAAAGATACAGTGAAAGTTATACTAATCAATTAGCAACATTAAGATCAAGGCAATATATACTCTTAATTTATTAAATCAGATTAAATTATAAAAACCCATTTTGCAAATCATATCATCATAAGCAAAATCCATTGTCAATACCCAAAAGATACAGTGAAATTTACATCTATTAGCAACATTAAGATCAAGATTTATATATATACTCTTCAACATTTTCCATTCAGTTTAATTACAAAAAGAATGTAGTGAAGATAGAGATATAACATACATTTTCGCGGGAATTTTTTCTCTGAAGATACTCCTCCTGAAGAGGGAAACGGGATTGAGCCTTGTTTGAAGAAGCAGAGTTCCTTAATCCTGCATCCATCACGTTAATAACACCAAAAAAACACTACTACTACTACGACAATTTCAATTATGGATTATAGCGAGAGAATATAGAATTGAGAGAAAGAATCGCGCAAGAATTAATCTAGCAAGGGGCCTGTAATAGAACAAATTAGAGCGTTAAGAGAAAAAAAAAAAAAATAAACACAATGAAATATTTAAAATAAAAAAGTATATTAAACAAGAAATCGAGATTGAAAGTGTTGGAGATCGAGAGCCGCCAACGGTGGATTGACTTGATCAGGAAGCAACGAAGTACGCTAGGGCAGAGAACAGAGAAACGAGAGATGATTGAGAGATTAACTTGAAAACGAGGGTTTTATACTCGTGATGATTGGGTCCTGATTTTGTAAATTTGTAGTCAAAACACCAACGGCTACTTTTCCGAAATACCAAAAGATCCGTTGTAATATGTTTAGACTAAAATGCCCAACCTTGATCCTCCGTTTCCGGATAACTATTGATACTGGGCTGGGCCTCAGGATTTGATGGGCTCTTTGGACATCCTTCACCGGGCTTCAAATATTTTGGTGAAAACGAACGGTATGTTCATGCTTACTAAAGAATATATTCATAATTATAAAGTTATATATTCATAATTTTTAAACTTTATATTCATAATTATTAAACTTTATATTCACAATTACAAAATTATATATTTATAATTATAAAGCTATATATTCATAATTTTTTAACTTCATATTCACAATTATTGAATCTCTATATTCATAATTACAGAATTATATGTTCATAATTATGTTCAAAACTCTATTTTCATAATTATAGAACTATATGTTCATAATTTTTGAATTATATATTCATAACTATGAACAGTTTTGGAACCGTATCCACCTTGCAAAGTGGACACAGTTCCACAGCATAATTTGCCAACGTTTAGTTAACAACTAAGTTTTCGGCCAATGACCTTGTGGTCTAGTGGCATGAAGTGATTTTTTCAAGTAGGAGATCATGAATTTGAGCCCCAGTGGGAGTGATATTGATTCTTTGTGCTTCAAAAAATAATTATGAACAAATACTATATTATAACAGAGTCGGTAGGAATTAAAAAAAAAAAAAAAAAAAAAAAAAAAAAAAAAAAAAAACAATTAGGTTTCCGTGGTTTATATATTTTGTGCAAATTATATCCAGCTTGGTGACACACTAAAAAAATGTGTCATATTCATAAAAGTGTGAAATGAACGATCGCCTAAAAAAGTTAATTGATTTCAATGCAAAAATTGTTCCCATTATGGATAATGCGAAGGTTGAATGTGATTTGAATGTTGTAATTGGAGATTTCTTTTTATTTTTTAGGATGAGTGGCGGAAATAAAGGGTTAATCGTAAAGGCTTAGAACTTTGACAGTGGCATTAAAATGTTTCTGCTAAGAAAATTGTAAAGATAGAAGTAGTGCATGATGTAACATCATAACCAACAACAAATATTTAAGTAAAACAGTCTTCAGCAGAAAGAGTGATACAATATTGCCTTAAGATAGTGATACAATATTGCCTTAAGATGAAGGTCAAGAAACAGCTGTCTACAAAATGGATTGATCTGAAATAGAATTTACATCCATATCCTATTATCTTAAACACTGTATCTCTTTTGTGCATAAATGCATTTTTTTTTGTGCTAACACAACATCAAAACTATAAACCAATGTACAATCATGCAAAGATCCTGTATATGTTCTTCAGACCTAGCAACCTGCCATCTTTCATGCTGTTCAGAAGGGATAACACAGATTCTGGACCACACTGCCTGGATTAAAAAAAAGACCCTAGCAATAGATGGGTGGTGCATTATCAGTTATAAAGATTATTGCTCATTGATTACAAGTTACAATTTACAATTATATCTTATTGCCTTGTTTCAGCACCAATGGTCCTTATTTTGGCCGACCCACCAACTCCTCGTTTAACCTACTGAATACTAGCTTCACTGGGATACAAGCTATGACTGTGGGCACAGTATCTTGTTTCATTATCCCATCCACTTGAAATATGTTGGAGCTACGTTTCAGATCACCGCTCTGCTTCTGTTGTGATGAAATTGATGAAAGAGTTCTTATCTTCTGATTAGAAGACAAGCTGATTCTCTTTGGTGTCTTTCTAGAGAAAGTCTTCACCACTGGAGGGCGGGATGTGTTCTTCCTCATCATGCTTGGCTTTTGACCAAAACCATCTGAACTGTCTCTGCGAACATTTCGGTCTCCCTCAGCAGCTAGGGGATGCTTGCTACTTTCAGTTCCATCCAATCCTGATGATATATTTGGTCGTGGAACTCGAACACCAGCTGTCCTTCGAGCAGTCCTCCACACAGGTTGGAGGGAGGTGTCATTACTCAATGTTTCTGGAAAAACATCAAGTGCACCCAAGAAGTTTTGTGAGGCACCATTTTCTAGAGCTTCAATTTGGATGGGATGCCCTATTATTGCCTGTCCATTTATCTTACTCATTAATGAAATCATAGGCACTCGCTGCCTATGGTAGCTTGCTTGGACTTTCAACTCCACATCTACTAACATTGTCTGGCCACCAAGATGATGATAATTACACATAGTATCAAGGTTCTCACCAGAGTCACCCCAGTATCCTTTAGTTACATGCCGGTCAATTGTAGGCAAGTCCCCCCTCCGGCTGGCATTGCCTACAACTCTAGACCCATAGCCAGCCATTGGCACCGTTGATTTTATGAATGAAGTAGCTTCACTACCACCACTACCCTTATCTGGAGGGACAATCATGTAACTGGCTGTTCTAAAATGATTTGCCTCAAATGCATCCAGAGACCTCTTAACAAGATTCCGATTATTCCTTTTCCCTTTAAGTTGCCATTTTGAGACCCCAACACCAGCAGAGACAGTGTCATTGAGAAAAGGATGTGAAACAGCTCCTGACAAGTCATCAAGCTCTTCACTACTTGTGCTTCGATGTTCAGCTGGTGCTTCAGATCTTCCCAAATATTTAGGTTGTAATTCTATGGATGCAGCACCTTCTGTATTGTTAAGTAAACAAAAGTCAGAAGAGAAAAAGGAAAACAAGCATGCTAACATATAGCATAGTGCCATTTTCTTATATTGCAATATATGTCTAGTGAAAAGCACACAATTTTGTTTTTAAAAAATCAAAAGTTAAAATGCTTGTATAGCTTCGAATCGAGTTCATCAGCATAATTTATCATCAAAACAAAGAAAAGTACTCAAGTTGTCACAGCCTTAAAAACGAGAAGACTGAAAGCCTTGTTCAGTTAAAAGAGTTATGCACAAACACGAACTATATACTGACAATCACATAGGAAATAAAATATCAGCCTTAGGGCAAATGGCTCACTTTTCATGCAGGATTGAACGGAGACTATTCAGGATTTAACTCTCTTTATCAGAGAGGTTGTTTCAAGGAACTGAATCCATGATTCCATGACCAAGCAGCCAGTAAATAAGCACTAGGCTACAAGCCCAGCTGCTTAATTGGGGGGGGGGGGGGGGGGGGGGGGGGGGGGGGGAATGCATTTCAAATCATCTTTTGGCAGATATTCTTTTGATTCGGGTATATACATGGACACTCATGCAAAACTGTGAAAGCATCTGAATAGAAAAAGAAATAAGTCAACTTATACCTGAAAGTGTAGCCATATCATCATCTGTATCCGATTCTTGAGAGTCACTATCATGAGAATCAGTTTCAGTATATTCTGTAGATACAGAAGGGTTCTCTTCACATGAACCAGCATTTCCTTCCAACTTTGGAGTTGATATCTCAATCTGAGAGGGGAGATTAATCTTACCACTAAAATGATCTCCAGATTCAGTTGCCAGGTAAGTATACCTTGCTTTTTTTGCATGGCCTCCTCCTGCCTGCTCATCTCCTAAAGCAGACATAAAACCAGAACTCTCATCTCGCTGAAGGTAAGAAACTGGAAATTTTTCACTAGTCTGCAATACTTGAGCAAGAGGACGGCGTTTATCATGCCTCTTGGCAGGAGTTTCCTCAGCTAACAAACTCTCTCTATCTGCATTCACTTCTGCTTTAGGACTCCCATCAAAAAGAATATTGCTATCAGGGAGAGGTTTGGAGGCACCATTTGTAGAAACAGGAAGCTCATCCTCTGCAGGGGCTGAGCTAAGACCAAAATCCTGCAAATCTCTCATCCTAGAAGGTACACTGGAATTATCATTGTCCCTGCTTAGCTGGTTCCCCTTTTGGGCTCTATCTACACACAAAATGTCAACTCTACTATCATCCTTAAGGGTGAGACCATCTCTCTCAAAAGCTTGTTGGGATTTCATGTGAAACTCCTCTCCATTTTGATTTTCAGACTGTTTTGGTGATGCCACTGCCTCTCTTGTCACAGTGTTATCAGATGATTTATCAATTTTATTGTTCGATGAATAACTTATTTTCCCATATTTTTTACCAACTAGTTCCCTCTCAAGCTCAAGAGCATGAAGTATGGCATCTTCGCGACGTGCATATTTCTCCCTTTTCTTTGGAGGCATACCTAGAGAAGCTTCAGCCCGCTCAATACAATCATCAAACTCACCACATCTAAATGACTTCACACGCTTTGACTTCTCCAAATTATACCAATCCCTAGAAAACAACACAGCAAGAGATGTCACAATGAAGTATAACCCAAAGGAGCCAAAAATTAATAGCACACTTTCTTTCTTCATAGAAAGCGTTACTTCATAAATATTAAAACTGTTAGTGAACAACAGTTTACTTTCCAATAAAAGCAAATTCATATATTAGGCTATTAGCACAGTCAATTGATCCATCAAAATGAGCTTTAGCTCAACCCTTCTTATTCAATTCTCAGCCTAATTACGATGTTTATGACATTAAGTGTGATAGTATTCTTAAGTATACTATAGACATAACAAACTTCTCCCCCTTTTCTCCCTTCTCCTACGAGGTTCTCCAGCATTAAAAACTTTCCTACTTAATCAAAGCATAATTATCTAAAACCCGGCAATTCGATTAAGAAAATTGAAAGATGTCTTTACAGAACACAATGTGTCTACTGAAGTATCTATCCTCCCATAGGGCAAAAATGAGCACCTGTAAATTAAAGCATGTGGAAGTTCACCACAATCAAAATGCACATCAGTAAGTGTAACTTCCAACACTTGTTCTATTTGATTCACAATTTCAAAAGAAATTTCAACAAAGAGAGAAGTTAAGTAAAAACAGACTTACACACTGGCATCTTCCCTCCCAAGAAGCTTGACTGGAGTTCCTGATCGCGGAGACATCACATGAGAAGCAGAAAGCTCATCAGGCCCCAGAATTTTACCCGGCCACCATGACCCATTTCGCCTCCGGACCCAAACAATACTCCCAACTCCACAATCAACCATTCCTTGTTCCGTTTCCGAGCTTCCCATCTCTTCCCACCACACTCACACACGCACTCTCCCTCTATTAAAAAAAAATTACAATCCAGAAGTATATGTCTGTATATACTATATACTTATATATACTGCTAAAATACAGGTATCACTATCACTTTACTATCTTCAGTAAATATTTTCCCCGAAACTTATATAACGCAATTGAAAAATAATATACGCGGAAAAGGGGAAAAAATATGTAAAGAGAGCTCACAAATACAAACACTGTAGATGATCAAAGGAAAGATGATTTAGGGCATTTGATTGATCAGCCTCCGGAAAAGAAGAGAGTGAAATGGATTTGCAGAAAGGCAGGTTTGGAAGATCGGAGTGTACAGATTGGGGCTAGGGTTAGGGTTTCCATTCAGAATTGGGGGAAATACATATCTAGGGATTTTGGTGAGAAATTACAGGGATCGATCGGGTGTAGGATTTGAGAATGGAAAGCAAATTAGGGTTGAAATGCGTGAATTTTGATCGAGTGAGAATCTGAAGAATCGCCGGTGTTGACTCACTGATTAACGGGGCGGAGTAAAACTTACCAGTTGTGTGTGCAGCACGCAACGCGTGAGAGCGTGGCCTAAAACCCTCCGGTACGGCTTGGCTTGCCTTGGGGCCTACAATAAAGCAAGCACATAAATGAATGTAAAGAAAGGCTTAAATAAATCAAGAAACGTACATGTTTGGTTCAATTACAACTGTTCGAAGTTGTATTTCTCATTGAGTCATTGTTTAATATTCAAACCTAACTCAAGCAATTTTTTTACTCCTTCAACACTTCAAGTAAAACATGTAAAACAATTTATTTTATATAATAACATTTTTTATAAGTCAAGAATCAAAGCATCTAAATTGAATAGATTAGTCATTTATTTGGAACGCGATCAATAACAGAAACTGTTCAATCCTTATTCGTTCAAAAATTAATTAAAAACTCGTGTAGCAACACTTTACCAGACCATGAGTCCTTAATTTCATCACCTCTTCCAAATCCAATTAACATTTTCACTTTTGATTAACCAAATGTGTGAGCTTTAAATGGAGGAGCTATATCATAAAAGACAAAACATGAACCAACAACATAATGGTGTGAGAAGACCATTACTTGTAGATGATGAATATATTTACTAAAATATTCTGTTTGTTCGAATACAAGAACACTTCCAATCTAAGTTTTGCATTAGCTACTTGACTACTAATCTAAGCTTCTGCAGCTTTTCTGACAATCACAGAGGCATAATTTCCAATTGTTGATTCTGGTGACTGCTGAAGCTGCCTAATCACTGGGAACAACTCTGATGAACGGAGGAAGTGTCTGCAAGGCGGATGAGCACACATTTTTGCCAATGAGAAAAGCGCAATCTTTAGAGGCGACTCATGCAAAGAATCCCTTCTGCTTGGATTAAGCGCTAGGACTGAGTAATCTGCTACCAACTTCAGTAGAGCCTGCAAATTAAAAATACCAATCAACACTACACCAATTTGTACCAGGTACAATTCAAAATGAAGACCTAATTGTATAGGATATGAAAACACTTATTGGGTATATATATAATTCACCTGCATGGCTCCTTTGGAGATGATGTCTTCGCAGAGCTTGTTGGAGTTGCGGACAAGATTGCTGAGTGCACCAGCAGCATTAGCCTTGGTTTTGTCCTCCTCAGCCGAAAGAAGTAAATAAGAAAGCTGAGGTATTGCTCGTCTCAACTCATCGTACAACAAGTCACTATGATAGGCAGCATTGCCAATCTAAATGGAAAGGAAAATATACTCGTTTTTGTTATCAATGAGTTAAGGAAAGTTGAATTGTTAAAAACATCTAATCTAATAGAACAATGAGAACTCACGGCAAAGCAAGCAAATTTCTGTGTTCTTTTGTCAGAATCAGCGCATCTGTCTATGAGGAGACTAATGATTTGATGTTTTCCCTACAATAAGTCAAACCATTAATGTTTGGCAAAAAAATCAAAGAACGTACAGCGCAAGGCAAAATTCTCATTGATTGTTGTCTTACCAGTACATCATAGAAATAGGAGCTATGCCGACACATATTCCCAATGGCACTGCATGCCTTTGCACGAACATTGGGATCTTCGTGGGTCAAAAATTCCTTGAGAAATTCCACTATATCTGCTGCATCGATGTATTCATAGAAAACCTGGATGCATATTTGGAAATCAAACTAATAAGAGAAGTTCTAGGTCTCTAAGAAACAACCAAGAATTAAACTTAGTACCTTGTCCATGCGAGCTAAATCTGAAACAATCATGAGAACATCGACTATGACTTCTCTGGGGCATGAACCATCGAGCAAACGCTTCATTCTCCTCGGATCCAAGAGACCTTTACCTAGAAGTTGTACAGCAAGGGGCCGGTGAGACACCATTTTGGCAAGAAATGCAATAGGCTTTCCAATGTCTTTCAGCTCCATATGTTCCAAACACCCAAGGATAATGCCTGGAACTCCTACCTGCAACAAACACAGGACAAAGCTATCAAGCGTTGGTGAGAAGCTGTACTCAAATTGGTGCAAATACAAATGATGCTTATGGGCAATAGTAAGAATGATGAATGTATGTATAAAGTGAGCTCCAATTGGGGAATAAGAGTAAGGCTGACCTCCAGTAGGATTTGGATATACTTTCCCATGTGTGTTTCTATGGCTTTCACCATGTCTTTGTCTTCAGGACAAACTCTTGCACCAGGTGATCCCATATTAAGGAGAAATCCGCTGTTCACAGAAGCTGTAGCAGATGGCAAGCCTTGAGCATTCTGAACATTCTGAATAGCCACAAAAGGAAATGCCAAGAGATCAATTACTGCATTTATTGTCTCTCTAGCACCATCCTTCCCTCCACCAGGGCCACTCCAGTTTCTAACAAGCTTAAGATGTGAGTCAGATATCAAATCAGATATGGCCTTGGCATGCTCCATCTTTAGCAATATCTGTCGAAAGGTTGTTACTCCACCAAAAAGGCATAGACATATTGAAGAAATGCTCCAAACAACCCCAATTGGTGACAAACCAATTTGATCTTTTGAGAAATCAGGCCCTTGAGAAGAGATTTCTGAAAGGTTACTTGTTAACAAATCAATAAGAATTTGTGGAATGCCACTTCCACATGACTGCTGCACTGCTAAAGGTCCTCCAGATTTTAGTCGTGATTCCAACAATCCGATGCATCCATCTCTTAAACCATGCCAATATGAGAACATCTGATTAAACATATCCGAGTTTATTCCATCTTTTTCTACAGGTGAAGCCTTAAGGTAGTCACATAGCTTGGCCGTTCGAGGGATTAGAGGCACAGCAAGGTCAGATATAGAAGTTCCTACAGAACTGCCAGTCTCAAGAGACAGAATGGATGCAAGAGCTAGCATCGCCGATGCACAGTGAGGTTGACATGATAACTGTGCATCAGATGAGAAATGGTGGGCAAGAACAGAGATTCGTGACTGTTGTTTCTTGGAAGATGTTGTGAGCATAAATAATGCAGAATTTCTTCCAGAGAGCTTCAAAGATTGTGCAATGGTCGCAATGAGAAGGCATGAATGCAGAACCAAGATCCCTGGATTATTTAGCTTGAACTTTGGAACTTCACCAGATGCTTCCTTACAAAAAGATAATATCGAGAAGATCTCTGAAATGATAGTACCATCCCCTCCTCCACTAACAACAGTAGTAACAGGGAGAGAGCTTGGTAGACCACAAAGAACATTAGCAACAACTCCACTATGCAAGCAGCACCGCATTATAAGCTGAAAAAGTAGTATATCATATTATTCTTTTGATTTGTCGTAAGAAGAAACTGTGCTAGGATATGACACTATGGAATAATACAGATTACTTAATGCATATTTTACCATCTTAAGAGATCAACTTCCACTTTCAGAATAAGTCCCAACTTTTAAAAACACAATTGCATTTGGAAGAAAAAGGAGAGAAAGGAAGGTTCACTAAATTACACTTGTTGAAACTTGGCACTGAAACGTGGTATCATAAATTTTTAGTTTTACCACCTTTCCCATTTGAAGCTTGAAAATGATGTGCTATCTGCTCTAAATTCTATAAAAATATGCATGCGACCAACATGCAAGAACTTTACTAAACAGAGTTTGCTATTTATCAATCCAAGTTTAACAGAATTTAAACTATTCACAGCGATTCATAATTTTCAAGAAGAATGATTACAATAAGTAGGACTGAGATTGATATTAATCTCTAAAATGAGGCCTATTTATTAAGAAACATAGAAACTACTTATGATGCTAACTAGCATAAATGCAATATAAAGAAGTGTGGAATTGTCAAAAATTAGAGAGAAATACTGAAATAGATACCTGTATTGTGGCACATAAGGAAACCTCAACGCGTTGATGCAGGCAATAACAAAGAGAAACTTGTATTGGTTTGGACCTCAGAAATGCTTTTGTCACTGCGTCAATGATTTTCGTTGAATCTTTTACAAGCAAAGAGCCTTGTTTGTCATCATCAATTTCCAGTCGATGCAGAGAAAGTGTCCTCAAAGAGTTAAGTGGAAATGAATGGCCTTTTTCTTTCACTGAAAGTGTTTCAAATGCATCCACTAGTGCCCACAAAGCCCTGCAGGCTTCACAAGCAGCTCGCAATAAATTTGAAGAACCAGATATGAGACTTGAGCCTGAAGTTGCTAGGCATGAGCACAAAAGGTCTGTTAGGACAGAAGATTGAGCATGGAGTAAAAACTCTTTGACAATTTCATTCACTACTGAAGGGTTACTAATCACATCAGGTGCCAATCTTGCAGAAGAAACTTTAAGAGCCTGAGCCACACGAGATAACATGACTGTAATACAACCAGTAGACTCAAACGCAGCTCTTCCAGAAGTATCATCCAGGCACTTAAGGACCTGAAGATTAGAATAATAGTTCAAACTTCAGAGCAAGTTAAAATAATTTCCATCAAATCTTCATATAAAAAGCCAACCTGTGAATACAAGTCAACCAGTGTTGTAAAGTGCCTGAAGTATGATCCTGAAATGATACCTCCGGAGATATCTAAGAACCTTTTAGTAACTGAAAAACTCTGCATTACACAGAAAATAAACATCACTCAAAAGAACCATAGTTTCAGAAAATAGAGGTAGTTATACAAGTAAAATGCATCGCTGTACACAATATTTGAAGCTACATATCATATCCAATTTAATAGGAATAAAAAGAAGTTCAAATTTATAGTGTGTGAGGGCAGAAACCCCTATCCAGGCCTCTTTTCTATTATATCATTCTATGTTCCTTTGTTTTATTTTACAGGAGTGTCTGTTTGAAGTACCTTAGTCACCAATTCAATACCATCAGGAGATCTTAGTTTAATGATAGAAGAAGTGAAGGCAAAAAGTTCACATATGATTTCATCAAGAATCCCACTTGAGTTGATAGCCCCAGCTGCAACCAAGTTCAAAAGAATTCTCAGAGACTGGTTTGATGTCACAATGTCTTCGTCCCTGAGCAAAGCATTAATGGCTAAGTCACAAAGTAATAAAAGTATATCTAAAGCTAAGTTTACAATTACCAAAAATAAGAAATGTTAATTACTTGCACATCATTTGATTTATTTTTATTACGTACATAAAAAATTAACCAATCATACTGAAATATTACAGAGTATTCAAATAATATGCAATGTGTCACTTAGAACATTTACCGGCACAAATCTGTAGATCTGTTGCACCAACTTTTTAGTGGAAGTAAAATAGCTGACAATGCTTCATTATCTTGACCAATCATTTTTGCACCCTTAACTGTCCGGGAGTTGTTTTCCAAGCGATCCAAGATCTGGCAACCTAAAACAACGATACAAGATAGAGAACTATAGTATAGCATCACCAAAATGTGTGAAGTGAAACCTGTAAGTAGTTTCTAATACTCCCTTTATCCCAATCCCAATTTACCTTTCTTTATATTTTCGTCTTCCCAAAATATTGTGTAGTTTCCTAATTTTAACAAAACTAACACACGAAGTTTCCAACTCTACAAGTGAGAGATTTCAATCATGTCAATTCTTGGTGGAAAATAGTTGTTAACACTATCAACACATGACAAGATCTCAGTAAAGAAAGAGCGGAAATAACTTGCAAGGGACAAGAATAGAGAGAAAGAAGTAGTTAATTCATATTCATATACCATATTACCAGTTCCCAGGAGTTTAGTACTTCCTATGCTATGTCTTTGTAGATTATATTTTCAAACCAAATACTATGCCAACTTAGTATGTCATATAAGTTTAGGAAAGCATGGGAGTCCTGTGTTTGGTACACAAAATAATAAATAATTACCAAAAGTAGTTGGAGTAAAAATGGAAAACATCTATGGATTTTATCTTTATGTTAACATGCAGCAAAAGCTAAATCCTAGGAGCATTTCAGGACAGAGGAAGAACAAAGCAATTCACCTGACTGTACAGCGTCATAAGGATTTGAACCTGGGGGCTCATTCTTTGGTGAAGAATTGGCAATTGCCACATCTGGAGAGTTCGGATAGACATCACCCTGAAGGCTCCCAACGTTTCCATTTCCACTTGCTGCATAAAAATGGTTTTTGCCAACAAGTAGATCCATTGAGATTAATAGATTAAGAAAACCTCAGTGACTATACCTATTCAACAGAGATCTTACTTTCAGGAGTTGCAAGATTCATTCCAGTTGATTGGATGTTTCCATCACCCCTACAAGTTGCACCATTACCCCTAGCAGCAGTAGCTTCAGGAGCATGAATCTCCTGGAAATTGGCAAGTTAGCATCACACTAAATAAATTAGGAAACTGGATAATACAAATTTATTATTAAAAAAAAAAAAAAAGTAGCTTGTATGAACCAAGAAAGTAATTACCCCAGCATCTGCATACTCATTAATTTCTTTAACAAATGGATGCTCAAGAAGAGCAGGCCAAGTAAGTCTATTCTGAGGTACCTGTGTTGTGGTTTCAACAATTAAATTACTTAAATGTTACTAGAAGAGAAGCCTTGTCAATTGTCATAGTTATGCCAGCTTTCTTTAGAAGATACCTTGTTAAGCAGCCCCTTAAGGAAACTTTTAAAATTTGAGGACATGTTATCTGGATATTTAACTGGATCCTGAAAAGTAACAACCAAAATTAAATTACTAATATGCTTCTTTATATGTAAATTTGATGAGTCAGAAAAGGTTAGCTACCTTGATTATGTGTCGGACAAGGGCATACACTGAATTTGTATAAAATGGAGGCTGGCCTACAAAAAGCTCATACCTGCCAAAAATTATGTAATGCAATCAAAAGGTGAAACAAATTGGCAAGAAAGAAATGCCAGTAGAGCATGAAAACAAAGCCATTGCTATAATTAAATGTGTTTGTATGGACTTGAGCAATAATGGTAAAAATTGTATTCCTTTTAACACTGTTATTTTATATGTGAGTCTATCCCTAATGCAGGAAAATGGTCACAGGTCAGTTGTAGGACAGATACTATACGTATGCTTATCCCAGATAAGAAGTTGTAGTTGAATCTCCTATTTACAAATAGCATACACATTTGAGAATGGAGGAAAAGCAAGCACTACCAACAAAATGAAAGGATAATAGCTAACATGTTTGATTTTGCAGTAATCACATGAGAATAATATAATAATTCAAGGAACACTAAGCAAAATTTTAAAAAAGAAATAGCGCCAATAATACATCAGAGCAATTTTGTTCTCAATAAGCAAGCTGCTTGGCTTCATGCTGTGTAAGAATAGTTGGTGTAATGATAACCATCAAATTTTATCAGGGAAACATTGCATACAATATAACGCCAAGAGACCACAAATCAGCAGTGTGGTTGTAAGGTTGTTCTCGTACCAACTCTGGAGCCATGTACAAAGGAGTGCCTACAACAAGTTCAGCAATAAAGAATCATGGAACAACTGGAGAATAACAAATAATGCCCAGTAACAGCCAGAGAAAAACAATGCAATCATGTATTCATGACCCAAACTTCACCTTTTATGGATCGTAAGACAACTGTGTTTGTGGACATAGCTCGTGCAAAACCAAAATCACAAAGCTGTTCAAATTAAGGACAAATAGAAGAAGTAAAAAAAATGGTCTCATTTACTAAATATACCAAAGAGAATAAGTATTAACTCATCAAGAAATAATGAAAATCAACTCACCTTAACAACAGATCCAGAACAAATAAGAATATTTTGAGGCTTCATATCACGATGAATAATGCGGTTCGAGTGTAAATAGTACAATGCTCTCACCTAAAAGTAATAAGAGAAAGCTCTATTAAACAATAAAATAGTTGCAAGAACTAAAGCATTAATAACCCTGAGAAGATGCATGAATATGTAGTTTAGCATCCTAAACCAAGGCTAAAACTTAAATCCCAATCTGAGCCAGATACCAGCTGTTTAGCAATTGCTTGGACTTGTTCTTCAGGGAGGCACTTGTCATCTTCAAGAACTTCAAAAAGTTCACCCTGGATATACAATAAAACATGTCAAATTATCATCTTGTCTAAAGAACATTCTGGCACCTATCCTAGAACTCTAGAAGTCATTTTTTAGCATGAAACATAAGGATATGCATCTGTGCAAATATAACTAGTGGAAATGATATGTATGAACTTTTTAGAGAGAGAGAGAGGACGCCAATTACTTGTGCAAACTCTGTGACAACACAGAACTCTTGTGGACTTTCAAAAGAATCGAGCATCTCAATTATATTTTCATGCTTCAACTTTCTGAGAATCTGCAGCAATTGAATCACTTGTATGAACTCAAGCATAAAGTAGAATACTTAAACAAGTAGCCAGAAGATTGAAACAATCATTTCCGACATAGAAATGAGATTCAAAGTAGCAAACTTAATCAAACCAAAAGACTAAAATCCGACAAGTAACAACTTCCACAAGAATCATCAGTAACATGTTCCTGTATTCTGACATACATAATTCAGCTATCACACCATTACTGTATGCCTTCAAACCATGCTTACTTGTTGTCAAAATGACCAAAATAATACTCAAAATACATTGCAATATGGAATACCTCAATTTCCTGCCTCAGGTTGTGAATATCCTTCTCACTTTTGCCGTGTTTAGGGATAAATTTCATTGCAACAGTCTAAAAAATAACACCCATTTTCAGCAGTGCGAATTGAGAAAAACCTACAACCAATTTACAACTAAAGTGTGGAGTAACAATAACACTGTAGCAAGGAAAAATTACCCGGCCTGTATACTTTCGCCTCCCTCTGTAGACCTTCCCAAAAGATCCCTCCCCCACAAGCTCTATTACGTGGTAATTTTCAACCCCAACCCCCATGTTCTGCGTCAAGGGAGAATATTATTATATTAATTCACTTGAACACAATCATATAGACGCAATTTCACTCTTCAACCTAATTAAATATAAAGTTATAATAAATCCTTCATCAACAAAATAAAACACGTTTTAATCATACCTCGGCTTAAGATCTTCCTCTCCCCAATGGATCCGAAACTAAATCAATAAAATAAATTTATAAAAGCATATATATCGACAGTCGAAACACAGCGAAACAGTGGATTCATCAGTAAAAACAAAAACAAAAAGAAGATATATCGCGATTAAACATTTAAATAAAAAAAATAAAAACAAACAAAATGAATGAAATCATAGCAAATGTGAGCTGTCCTCTCAGAAGTGGTGCTATAGATGTTGATGATTAATGAGTTTATGTGTAGCGATTGATGATTACCTTAGTAAGGAACTCGCACAGTAGCAGGAGATTGAAGAAATGGCGTTTGAATGTCGAAGGCGGTAACAAGGTAGAGAGAGAGAGTATACTCTGATGGAGATGAGTGATGGCTTTGGATTTGAATCGCCTTTTCCCGCCCGGGAGACATTTAAGTGAATTTTCAATTAAAAAATGAAGCCTATAATAAATTAACAATATATATTTAAATTTTAAACTTTTAATATTATTATTGATTATTGATTATTGATTGAAAGGGGAATAACACAATTATAGATTTTTTTTTTTACAATAACACAACTATAGATTTAATTAACATTAACAATTACAAAATAATCCATCTAATATTGTAGCTATATTGTAACTTTATATGACACATTTTATTTATGACATGAATTGTAGGGGATGAATAATTTTTATAGAGAAAATACAATTTTAAAAACGTTGAAATTTATAGCAAGTCATTTAAATTTTAAATTAATTTATACAAGTATTTTGCATGAATTGTAACATGAAAAATAAAGATACATATTTATATTGAAACACAAAAATCAAATTGTCCATCTTGAATTAAATCTATGACCTTCTATTTGAAAAAGTCACAGAGGTGTTATAGAGTTACAAGCTACTTGGCTGCAAAGTTTGTTTATGCATATATAAAATGTAAAGATTTGGACTAATTGATAAGTGAAACATATAACTGTAAAATTATGAAATCAATTATTATATAAATGTGTCATGTTAAAAATTATTTTTAAAAAAATTTAATAAAATTTCAGGCAAAAAAGTGACACAGTGATCGCATTCTTCGTGACCGGCCATCGTTTGACAGTCGCCGATCACTTTTTGCCTAAAATGTTGTCTAAGGGTGGCCGGATCCCTAATGACATGTGATAGCAGGTAATTTAACAGTTTTTGGGCTTCATTACATCAAAATGAATTGTTTATGAGTGTAATGGCACCTTTAAAAGGTTGAGGAACTAATTGGTCATGTTTGGTAAATGGTTGTTAGATGATAGCTGTTAGCTGGTTGTGTTAATTAGATGGTATGACTAGTTGATAACATTAGCTTATTGTAAAAATGTGTTTGGTAAATTAGTTATTAGCTGATAATTATTTGGTATAATTTATTTTTTCAAAAAGTTAATCGAAAAAGTTGTTTTAAGTAGCTTTTTGAATTTTAACATTTTGAAGTACAAAAAGTTAATTAACCAAACACTTATATTAATTTTTAAATCAAGTCAAACAACTAATAGTGGTCAAATAAGCCAAAATTGGCCTATGCTAATTATTTTACCAAACAAAAATCATTGACTTTTCAACTAAAGTTTGATGACTTATTTGACCTTTTTCCCTCCAACATATTATAGCTCCCTTTTTTTTTTTTTTTTGGTTTGGAACTATTGAAAAAGGTTTATGATTTTTATCTTTTGAATTTCCACATAAAAATCTAATGTCTATATTTTTTTGAAAGCTTTATCACTTGATTATTTGTTATTTATTGAGCTGTGGGCTTGAATGTGAGTGTTTAATCACAAGACCGTTAAATTAAAAATCTAAAATCTAACAAAGTCAAATTCGAATTAGTCTCATATTTGTCAAAATAGTGAGATGCACCAAAGACTTGTGATTTTTATATTTTAAATTTTCACATAAAAATCTCATGTCTATATTTATTTAGTAAGCTTTATCACTTTATTTTTTGTTGTTTATTGAGTTTTAAACTTCAGATCGTTAAATCTAAAACCTAACAAAGTCAAATTCAAATTAAGTTGTGTCACATGCACCAAAGAAAAAACTGAGATGTCATTTAAACAGTGATAATAACATTTTTTGCACAATGGACATTAAAGTTAACAAATGACATTGCACAATACACATTAGAGCACCAATATCATTGCATTTTTCAGAACAAAAAATCAACATTTGATTTTTTAGAGATGTAGCATGTGGTTTTTAGTCAAAATTGTCTTTTGCAGAGGTTTTTTTTTTTTTTTTTTTTTTTTTTTTTTTTTTTTTTTTTTTTTTTTTAAGGAAGCGTGATGTGTGCAAGTGAAGCGCACTTCGCGCCTCAAGTGGGCGCGTCAGAGTGCTGGCGACCACTCTGACTTTTGAACAACTTTTATGTTTTTATTTTTATTTTTTATGTTGTCAGAATTTGTTTTTGTTTTTGTTTTTTTTTTTTTTCCCACATTTTTATCTCTTTCTTAATCACACTTACAAAAACTCTTCAAAAATCACAAAAAAGCTGCACTATTAGACACCAACTTTACCTGTTTCTACTTTCTACCGTGGAATTTACAGGCATACTTTTTTTTGCACAAAAAAAAAAAAAAAAAAAAAAAAAAAAAAAAAAAAAAAAGACAATGGCCTATTTGGCCTTTATCCAAGTTAATAATGAGCTTAGAAGGTTAATCGAAACATGTATTATTATGCATCTCTGTACAATTGGGCATCCCTAAAGCTTTACAGCACCAACCAGCCAACAACAATGACATTATGAATCAACAGCTCACTTCCACACATCTACATTTTTTTTTTCACAAAAATATACATGTACTAACTGAATGTCGTGAAAATGCTTCTAAGATCTAAGACCTAATTTCAACAACATCACCATCTTTTAGCTCGGTACCGGGCAGCACGACTTGACCATTTACCGAGACTGATATTCCTTCATGTCCTGCTCTTCTAGCAGCATCAGCAGCTGTGCTACCGGTCCTTAGCCGCATTATCTCGCCATGAGGCCAACAAACAACGACGACTTCACCAAGAAGAACAGAACTGGTGCTTTTGTAGGGAATACCCGCTTCAGAGCGTAGCTGCTTCTCCCACTGAAGCATTGTCCTCAGCAAATGTACCTGTGTAAAGGACTAGCTTAGGGAAGGGTTTTAACTTTACATTGTGTGGGAAATAATGAATCCTTAAGGTGGAATACTAGCATAAAGAATAAGACCTGTTCATATGGGCTGCTTGGGTGCAACAATTGATTTGTGTTAGTGCAGCTATGGTCAATACAAATCCAATGGAAACCTTGGAAATATATTTAGTTTATGTAATGAGGTGGCAGTTACTGTACCTTGTTATTGATCCCAGTATTTGTTAGAGTTGAATTTGCAGCAGCTATAGGGCTTACTTTCTCTTTGAAACTTGAGTTAGATACAGCAACAGTGACAGGTTTGCCTTCAAATACAGCAGACATGATATTCCAGTAGAGATTCTCCTCTTCTTCCGTCAATTCAATGACTTGGATGAAAGTCGGAAGTAGTCGCTGAAATTGGTCTTGCTGCAGTTGTTTGAATTTTTAACATTTTATCATTCAATGTAAAAACTCCAGCATGATAAAATGACTGTGGGAATTTTGATGCTTAACAGACCTTGTGGTACATGCCATCTCGACAAAGTGTATACCTTTCCAGGCAAGTCCACCAATCTCCATGTCCTGGTTGGCACCACCATTCATCAGACACCTGTGGAGACCATTTCGGAAACCTTAGAAAAAATAAGATAAAATGTACTCGACTTTAAGAGTTGATTACTTCTAAAATAACATGTGGCTGCATTCATAAAATAAACTTCCAAGTTACTAGAAACTAATAGAAGAATATATTTTGGATTCTTCTGTTGCATCAACTAAACAACTTTAGACGTATCATAGCTATTTTTCAATGAGAAAACACTATAGAACTATTTAGTACTACTTGAATCAGAGCCTCCTTTTACCAAACCAGTGAACTACTACTATTACATTTTGTCAGTGATTAATCTGTAAGACTGACTGTCTACCTTGGGGCACCATACAATTTTATTGGATAAAAGTGTAAGGATTATTTCGCTATCCTAACTTCCTAACAGACCAGGTTAATGAGCCCTGTTAAAGAGCTCTTTGCAGTTCAAATGCAAAACGAGAGAGTTTGGGACATTATTAAAGAATTCCTCATTTATTTTTTATTTTTTATTTTTTACTCAATGCTCTTTTAGCAATTTTAGAAATCACCAGCTACTAATAAAAGGTACCTTTTTATACAGTCTTGCATAAGCTTCCCATCTTTTTATTTGATTAGAAGATCTTCTATCAGCTACTGCTTCAGAAGCTGCAAGTCCAACGTTTACAGCAACAAGCAATTCTTTTCCATCTTTATCTACACTGGATACATAAAATTTGTGCAAATCTTAGGAAAAGTATGAGTTTTGATATAGGAAGATAAGTAATAATTTCATTTTTAACTACCTTACAATTACTGCAGCAAACAAATTATCCGATTCTACTCTAAGGACAGGATGCCCTGCTTTTAAAGAACTATACTTATGAAACACTTCATCTTCAACTGAACCTTGATCTTGTATTTCTGTTGACAAGTACGAGGATGTAGTTGTCTCAGAATCACTGATGCTTTCCTTCACAGGCATCTTGTTTTCAGCTTCTTTGTAAAGCCAATGTGCAGCAAGTCCATGTTCAGCACACTCATGCATCCTCTAAAACACCATATTATTCAGCTAGATCAACAATTTCTTGGGGAAACAAAGAGCCACACCGATAAACCAGAGAGAGAGAGATGTTAATAAAGTTTTGAGGAAACATAATACCTGTGTTCTTATTTGAACTTCCAAAGGAGAGTTGTCAGGACCTTGTACTGCAGTGTGCAGGGACTGAGATAAGGAGAATGATTCGGAGGTTGAGAGAGTATCAGAAAAGGAGGTAAGAAAAGCAATGCCATGTGTAAGTATGTATTTATTATGCAAATGGAATATCAAAGCACAAAGTCTCACCTGGTAGCCACTTGGTTTAGGATTAACAATGTAGTCATCAAACTCACCATCTATAGGGGACCATAGCCTGCACCAAGTGAAAGCAATGCAACCCACTTCTTAATCAAGTCGTGCAGACAGTCAGACATACATGCATGCATACCACTAAGTTGTCTCTGATTTTTACAGTATGTTGTTAATCTAGAAGAAGAAACAACTTCCATATAACAAAATAAACTACTCCATGTGTTGCCACTGCTCACATAATGAGCTCAACTCATTAACTGATTCTGAAATAATTTACCTGTGTAAAATGTTGAGAAGATTATAGCAGCACTGAACTGCTTGGCCATGTAACTTTCCATCTTTATCTCCAACAATAACCCTCAAAGCACGTGCATCATACACTTTATCTATAGCAACATCTTTTCTTTTCATCTGTCATGTCAAATTTAAAATGCACGATTTCTTAAAATTTATATACCAGAGGAGAACACTATGTGTAAGTATATAACTTAGAAACAGCAAACTTAAGGAACCAATGCAAATATGGATCAATCCCACAAAACTTTGGCAATTACATTTAGAAATTAGAATGTGCTAGCACCATCACCCAGTCTTATGACATTCTGAAATTAACATTGAAGAATTTGGCATTGATATCATTAATATGTTCTTAATTTGTTCTACCTTACAGTATATACTATATAAGCTTTTCAGGCGGCTGGACACAGTCACTTCCATTCCTGGAACATAGCTGCAATATAGTAGAGGAAATCTCAATATGTGGCCAATATACAAACTGGAGGGTACATTATACCAATGTTCTGTACTGGATTAGATTAAGCATTAAGCTTTTGGCTATAACAGCGGTTGAGAAAAACATACGAGGTAGATATAAATAATTCTCGCTCCAATGCTTCTTCACAAACTACTAGAGATGTTAAAGCAATGCCAGCATCCCTCACAATCTTTGGCTTTGTTTCCATTTCTGAACTTGTGCCAAGTCTGTTAAGAAAGTCAATGCGCTTCTTTTTGTCTAGTAAGATATCAAAAGGAAGTACAGCTTGTAAAGTATCCTGCACATTGACGAATTTTTTGCACTCAATAGTTCTATGATGACATGAAGAAAAAAAATGCTAGCATATAGTTTATCACTTCAAAAAACAAGGAAGTAGAGCCAACTTCATCAATTGTATGAATTCATTTACCTTCATGCTTATATTTTCCTTGTCACTCTCTACAGATTCTTGCAGAGGGGCTAGATTTTTCCTATTTTTCAGTGCCAGAGAACTGGATCTTGCAGATAATTTTCTCAGATTGCTTAACTTGGAATGACTCCACATGGAAGCCAGGTCAGCTCGCATGCAACGAAATACTTGAGGCTGCAAATTATATGCACATTTGGTCACTAAAAGACTGTAAGATCTGCACATTATGCAGTTTGTTTCATCATGACAATACACTTTTGACTAAAGCAACTGCATAAATCAAGACCACACCTGAAGCACAGCAAAACATAGATCTTCAAGTTCCGCTTTTAGTGCCCAAAGGCCTAGTCTGGAAGCAAGTGAACACCAAATAGCTAGTGTCTCCTGTGCAACTGATTGAGCTTTAGCTGGAGGTAGTGCATATCTGTGCAAAAAAATGCAAATAAAACAGACAAATTAATCATGTAGCAGCAGAAATCAGCAGACCCTGCTTAAGTAATGATAACCATGAGTTGTGAACTTCATGTATTGGTTGCAACGCTTGACTCCACTGGTCCTCTAAAAGACCTAATCCAAGCTTAAATGGAGTAGACAGAAATACATTGGAGGAAGAAGTTTGGAGTTAAAGTTAGGAGAAAGTACCCTTGAAATGCAAACTAAGGAAACTTCAAAAGGTATTCAGGTAAAAAACGGGAGTTGAAAACTGTTAAGAGTCCCACATTCATAAAATAAGAGAAAAACATATGAGTTTATAAGGTCATGGGTTAGACTAGCTAATTGATTGAATTCAATCTTTTAGTGTGGTTTGGCTCATGTGCATTATAGCCCAGTTGAGTGACCCTAGGGCTTTCGTTTCCAGGGAGGGTCCGGTCCAAAAGTGACCCTAGCCCAATCATTGTTTGTAACAAAAACAAAGGTCTGATTGAAAATGAAATAAATAGTTCACAGAATGTACATGGTTCTCATGTTATGAAGACGATCTGCAAGCTTGATAAGCACCACACGTGGATCATCAACCATTCCCAACAGCATCACCCGTACTTTATTTGCCTATAAAAGTATAGCACCTGTGAGAAATGCCACTGGATAGCAATCAATGACACTTGTATTACCATTAAGTTACTACTATAGATAAAATGCTTTTTCTATTGCCTTTTTTTGAAGCAACAAGGAATATTATATTCATTCCAGAAATCTTGGCATACAATCTAGACAGCAATGATGAGATTTGAATGTAGTCAGCAAAAGAATCACAGATAAGAAAGGAGCAGAAGATGTATACTGTTGTAATCATGGGCCAAACCACACTAAAAGATTGAATACAACCAATTAGCTAGTCTAACCCATGCCTTATAAACCCATATATTCTCTCTTACTTTATGAATGTGGAACTCTTAACGTATACAATGCTTTACCAACAATTTATTGACTACATAAACTGTATTTATATCTCAGTTTAAATGCAATGTCACTGGAATTTATCTGCTAATACTTCAGCATCCTAAAACAAATCAACTCATACAACATTTAGCCAACCATAGCTACCCTAAGTTGATAAGCACAGTGATTAGATAATTTTGAGTCCATTAAGTTAGTGATTATCTTTGATTTATTATTTTTTAATGCAGTTGATCTTCAATATCTGCCCTACTGAGAAGAGAGGTGTCGGTGGACTGTTAGCACATGATATTGACTTGCTCTCCGTATACCTCTTCATCACTGAGGGTAGCTTCATTCGTGTTTAACCTGCGATGCCGCCTCAATAACTGCAGAAGAAACATTCTCTTAGACTTAATTAATGCCACTAGTAGATAACATAATAACCACTTAACCAGGTAAAAGGTGTGATCCAATGAGATTTCAAATTTCCAACATTAAGATATATATGCCATCAATCAAGGTGCGTATTCAATTGTTCTGGCAAAACCAGGGAACAAAAAAAATACTATTACAAACTTTGCAAGGCAATCCAAAGCTTTTGTGACAGTTGTTCCAATATCACATGAGGTCAAAAAACTGAAAGTTAAACAACACAGATATAATAAGTCAGTCACCTGATTGATGTAACTCAGTCTAGACACACTGGCAACCAACTTGGCAACATCAACATCGAACTCTCTCTCTATATTGACCAAACTTTCTCGTGTATCATCAATGACATCATGGAGAATTCCAGCAACAACAGTATCAACAGCCTGTGAAGGCACAATCAACTCAAATACTATTTATGATGACTAAGGAAAATGTTGCAAACATACAATAGGAGAAAGACCTCTTTATATAGCTGGATTTGCACAACATAATGGATTTAATTTTAGCATTGGGTCACCAAAAAATATATATGGCAATTATGTAAGTAAAATCAACTTTAATCTTGAATAAAAAGAGAGAACAAATAAAGTTGCTTTTAGTATGATAGTCCCTTAGATTTTATTTTCAAAATTAAAAGCATCGAATAAAATTGCAAATTTCACAAAAAGGCTACTGAATTAGGCACTAGTAGGCCTATATATATGTGTGTGTGTGTGTATGCAAAGAGAGATATATCTTGTGTACACACATAGCATAACAAAAGCCCGAATTCCATTTAATATCTTGCCAGGCAAATTCTACTCTTGTTTGTGAAAGGAGACAGACACATGCTCATTCTTCTTATTCATATATGCATTGTGCTTCCAACGATTCATATTAACTTTGGATATGCACATCAGATCATTTTATTGCCACTATAAAATTCAGTCCTAAATGCAATGACAATCTGACAATGTTGAATAAGATGCCAAACATTCATGAACAGTAATTGCAAGGATGATGCCTACTCTTTTCCCAGAGGATGGAACCAATAATGCTAAAATTTTTCCAGTGTGAAGACAGTGTGTCAAATAAGGGTCGCCAGTCCTCCGTACTTGGCCATGGTGAGCCTTCCTTGCAAACTCAATTGCCTTAAGCACCTGCCTTTGCAGATAAAGAATTTTAGTGGCACAGTTAGCAGCAAACATGTACATGGATATGAACAGCGAAGGATAAGAGACGGTAAACCTTTGGATCATTAAATATTGGGCACCCAGTAACATCTACTCCATCCAATACTAGTGATCCTGCACCAGATCAATTCTATAAATTGAACTTATTTATGTGCCAAACTATCCAACAAGTTAAATCAAAGGGCCGCTCAAATGCTAAATAAACTGCCAAAACCACTAAACTTCAGAATTATGCTAAATGCATCAAAACCACTAAACATCAGAATTATGCAAAATGCACTGTCAAAACCACTAAACATCAGAATTATGCTAAATACACTATCAAAACCACTAAACATCAGAATTAACATTCTCACTTGGTATCGTACTATCATATCAGAGAATCATCTGATTCAAGGATTCAATACAGATATTTTGTTCTTTTCCAGAGCAATAAACATTCTGACGACTACAACATTGAGGAAAAAAAAACAAGAGTAAAAGAGGAATGGCTGACCAGGCTGCTCATCCACTTTAGGCCATAAACAATCGACCTTAGTGGAAAGGCAAGCTCCGGAGGCAATCGCCACCGCCGTAACGGCCACCTGCGTTATGGCTGACGTCACCGCTCCATGAACAGTGCCAGAACCGACCGCGGCCGCAGCTGCAATCGCGTTGCCGGAGGTCAACACCGAGCTGAGCGACGACGAAACCGTAAAATTTGGCACTACCTGATCGAGAATACATCGGAATTTCGCGGAATTTCGGATGGAAAAGTAAATGAAAAGGGAATTTTTACGGAGAATCGAAGTGCTTCTGTGAGTGAACATCGTTGAAGACTGGCATGGAGTCATTTCTCGGTTGGTTGACAGTTGATTCTTATGAAATTAAAATTAAAATTATTATTATATATATATAATCATCTGTACAAATTGAAAGAATCTAAAAACTGCCTGTTGAAACCACCCAACTGTGCTTCAGCACTTATTTATATATAAAAATAAAAAAAATTACAGGATACACTCAACACATTAACGCAATACATAATGTGTGGCTGGTAAGAGGGTACGTGGGATTTGAATGGTCGTGATTTTTCTGTATCGAGGGAGGAAAAGTTGAAGTAAACGCAGATTCTGTTTTGTAAATATACTATTTTTATCTCATTTTATTTAACTGATTCAATTAGAAATTATTTTTAATTCAATTATTAATAATATTATGTTTAATATTAATATACAAAATTTATATATATTTAAAAAAATACTATTAAACTTAAAAAATTAAATTTGGAAGTAAATCAGAAATACTAAAAAAAAAAAGTAAATAATAAATAGTTAATTTGACTAATAAATAGTAAACATGACACATAAAATAAGACAAAATTAACGATAGTTTTGTAGCCAAATTATATTCTGTTAATTATACTACTTGATAGTTTTGTAGCCAAACTATATTTTTGTAGCCAAACTATATTCTGTTAATTATACTGCTTGATAGTTTTGTAGCCGAACTATATTCTGTTAATTATACTGCTTGCACGCATTCCTTATTTTTAGTTGGTGATTTTTTATTTTGTAAAAATGACATTTTCAATTTGAAGTAATTAATAATGAAAATTTGTTAAAATTTAGAACTGTTGGCGAAAGTAAAATTAATTTAGTTAACAAATTGACTAAATCAAATTTTGAATTGATTTTGCAAGAGTTTGCCCACAATAAATGGCACCACTTTCTATTAGTCCTGAAAATATAGTTAGATTCAATGGCAATTTTGTTTTTCCAGATATTCTAGTATGTGCAAGGGTAAATTCTACTCTTGTATAAACCAATCAAATATCACCTCCTTATAATAGCCTGCAAATCATATTAAAAGATTGTGTAACGGATTTGACCGAATATGTTACACCGAATGGCTCCACAACTCCACAAGCAAATATGTTGGATCAATTATAATTTGGAGAAGACCTATCATTCAACAAATCAAAATAACAAGGGATGTTTAGCAGCTCAGCACTACTTCAAATGTTCATCCAGAAGATAGAGCTCGAAGCCAGCTAAGAGCACCTAATCGCCCACTTTATACAAAAATATACACACACAAGTGTTTGTCTTAACAGATGCAAAGATACATGCAAGCTAAGGCTAGAATACGGTGTTGAATATAATGCACTGAATTAGAGTTGTTGTATAGCCTCCAGCAAGAACAAGAACTTCTTTCATAACCTATAGGATGCGAGATTGCAGGGTCCTCAGCATTTGTCGCCCAAATTGAATAGTCAAGAAAACCTGTACGAAAGGCTTCAAGGTTGTAAAGGAATTATGAGGAGGAATGGAAGCCAGGAGAAATTGACAAGTGCAGCTACCAAGTGTTTACCTGATTAATCACAAAGGTAGAAGAAGTGCCTACTCAAGAGAATCCAGTAGCTTTATGCTCCTTCAGTGTACTTGCTAACCAGTCTAATCCCTCATATAGCCCATCGCCTTTAAGAGCACATGTCCCTTGTATATGCCATTTTCTATTTCTCAGATCATTGAGGCCAAGGCCTTGACAAACTTCCATAGGTGTCATTGCTCCTTTCTGAACAAATCAGAAGGATATAATCAAAGACTGACTAAACACAGTGATGCCCGGCAAACAACTGCTAAGTACACACGAAAAATTACCCATCTGTCCAATTTTACAGATTAATGACTAGCTTTCATTTCAAACAGCTGCTAATTACACGCATGAAAAATCAATATATAAACCACCCACTTTGAAGAGTCTGGTAATAACCATTTACCTGGACTACAGTGATGAAAAAACTAACTTAACTGCATGAAAGAGTGAACAGACAAAACCCCAAGGCTTGGCCTTCTTGAGCACTTGTATGTGGATGTATGCATAAGCATATGTATATAGTTACCATTACAAATGACTGACTTTGAACCTGTGTGTGTATCACATGACTTACCAAGTCCTGTTTGTTAGCGAAAACCAAGATAACTGCATTAAGCATAAAAGGATCTCTGATGATGGTCTGCAAAAATTACAGCAGCACAGATGAAAGGGTAAGAACTTGGATCAGTAAGATATAAGTAATAACATTATCAAAGATACAACCTGAAACTCTTCTTTTGCCTTCCCGATTCTCTCTCGATCCAAAGAGTCAACAACATATATCTACATTAGTCAGAAACAAAAAAAATAAAAAAATCTTTGAGACATTTAATGCATAAAAAATATGAAGAAATGCCAACTGATATTCAACAGAAAAATGCATAATCATAATTGAAGCAGAAAAGCAGAAATAAAACATATAGTCCAATGATGTCTGACAACATTGAAAAAGTTACCAGTCCATCGGAATTGCTAAAGTAATGCCTCCAGAGGGGCCTTAGTTTCTCTTGCCCACCAACATCCCACACAGTGAAAATGACATTCTTATACTGCACCTTTTCCACATTGAAACCTGTTCGTCAGCAGAATATAATTGTCAAATAGCTGTGGTCTGTACACATACCTACTCAGTACGACCCAATACCATCACAGCAATCATCCAATAATTTATTTATGCTTACAACCAAAATGGGAGGACAACAATTCTCATAAAAATTATGAATTTTGACACTTCATTTTGAAAGTATGCCAGGACAGATCAAATTTAGGACCAAAATTGATAAAATAACACGAGAGGTGACAGAAAGAACATAATAAATACGGAGTAGAAGTAAATAAAAGGGAGGTTTTTATAGAACTGCAAAGTTGGCACTAATACAATCTAAAATGACCAACCTAATTCCTAGCAACATGATTCCCTCTTTCCAGAATTTGCCTTTTTAAAAAACCTATATTTTGTATATAAACTTACCAATGGTGGGAACTGTTGATAGAACTTCCCCTATGTGTAGTTTATACAATATAGTAGTTTTGCCAGCTGCATCGAGCCCAAGCATCACGACCTGTAGAAGCAAAATAATCAGAAACTCGCAATGGAGAAGGCAACGAGGAACCCATGAGAAAGACAGCTACAATCTCTCTCTTCACAGCTGCCCACAAATACTAACCTTCCCACCAGACAATCTTATAATGTACCATCAGTGAAGACACAAACACTTAGTATCACTTATGGTAAATGCAAACGATAGCTTAAATTAGGAACAGTAACAACCAACAAGCAAGCAATTAAATTACCAATGAGTCAATACAGCACATAGTGATATAGATACCTGCTAATAAACAACTAGGGGAGAGATAAACAGTAATATTAAACGGGAGCTACTGAAGATGCAAACGAAAAATAATAATCAGAGGAGCTTATGAGTATGGGTTTACATACCCTCATCTCACTGTTGCCGAAGAAGGTATCGAAGAGTTTGCGGAAGGCTTGCCCCATATGTCTCTGTCTCTCTCTCTCTCTATACCTCCGTCTAGTTGCGAATCAAATGGAATTGCAGAGAGAAGAGTCGGCGATCGAAGAAAGAGAAGCTCTGCTATTACTGGAGTAGATGATCTGAATCAAAGAACAGATGAGTATATCAAGTTATCAACTAATCGATTCAGAAGTGAGAGAGAGAGCAGAGTACGTACATATGCTTTCTTTAGGAATTAGGAGAGAAAGGGTTGCGTGCTAGCGTTTTCCTGTTTCTAAACGAGTCTGCGTCTTTCTTTATTTTCCATTTCCTTTCAACGTTGAAAGTTCAATGATGACTTCTATCTATGTTTTCCTCTCTCATCTGGAGCCGCCGTGGCGGCTTTCATTTTTCAGTTCAAATCTAGCGACAACTCCGTACTTCCGTATGAAATTGAATAAATCTAATGGGTGAATTTAATATGAAATTTGTACAAAGAAGTGATGTAACGAGGCTACTACGAACGAGCCATTTACACGCAAAACAATTAAACCTTCTAACGCTATTCTTTTAGAGTTTTACAACACATTTGGTTCACTGAATGAATTTGAAGAGAATAAAAATGCTATTTTATAGAGACTAGAATATATTAGGAATAAAATATGAATTGTATTATATTATTTGATTTGTTAAAAGGAATAGACTTTATGAATTATATATTTTATAGAGACTAGAATATGTTAAAAATAAAATATGAATTGTATTATATTATTTGATTTGTTAAAAGGAATAAACTTTATGAATTGTATTCCAGTATTTGAAATAAGTCTATTTCAAAAAATATTATTATATTTCTAACATATTCTATGAATCAAACATGTCATTAATTTTTTTGGACAATTTATATCATGGTGGACCCTAATCCAAAACACATAATTTGTCATGTTCATAGTGTACAAAACTTATATTCATAATACATGTACACATAAATACGATATAATGAAAACACAAACATAAAGTATATACATTATGAACATAAATTCTGTATATTATGAACAAATCAAAAAGTGACAAATGTGGACCCTGATCTACGATATAACGATTTGTTTTTTTTGCACCAAACCAAAAAGTGACAGAAGATTTCGGAAAAGAGATAAAGAAATTGAACTCAAGCACCAAAGCCCAATTCAAATGTATATATATATAAGCTGTTCTACAAATAAACAAAAATGATGGCTGCACAACCCCACAATTTTTGTATACAATACTCTCCTGTCTCAACCACTGAAAAGGTCATTTCAACCATCCGTCCCAAACCTCAGAACTACAATACCGCTAAAACCAGGAGCCGGATACAATAGCATGTTGTATTCACTAGATTAGAATCTAAGTAATCTACATTAGCCAGCTAATCATCTCTTCCTTCGGTGGCCAAGTTGAGCCGGGAGATTGGATATCCGTGAATCACAGCAACAAAGCAAGAACGTGAAAAACTGACCAAAAAATACACGATCCTCCGGTTGTGACACAATAATCATCTCGAGGCAACCAGAACACTTGAGGACTACAAGCCAAATGAAATTAGTCTACGGAGCAAAGACTTCCTGTTTTATGAATCCACCATCTCATCTTGTATCTCGTTGGGTGCAATTAGCCCTGGAATTGAAAGCATCCGTTGTCGCTCCCTTTCTCTCTGAGCAGCAGCTTCTTCGGCATAAAGGTCCTTGTTGTCCTGCAAGAGGGAGGAGATGACAAAAATGGGATAAAACACTGCAGTAACCGAGCAACTTGGAAACTGAACACCAGAACAAGCTACCCTAGTATTCCAATAAATAGGGTTTGAGTGAACAGTAAAATCCAAAAACTAGAAAATTGCATTCAGTTAATCTAGACCATAATGGAACAACTACCTGGCTAACTGGTTTAATCCAAAAGCAAGACCCTCTTCTCCAATATCCAAAGTATAAAATGAAAATAAGCAAAAAGAGCAAAAGGGTCCAAACCTGGGCTGAGAATTCCTTTGATTGAGCAAGAAAGTCACGAATGTGATTCTTGAATACTGAAGGGTCATTTGTTGATTCAAAGAGTCCACTAACAAATTGGGTCACCTATACAATTTCTGAATGAGTAATGCCCAGGAATATCAACATGGAAATACAAAAATTAAGAAATTCTATACCTCTGATGCAGTCATGTTGGGGAAAGATGAACTCAGAAGTTTAATGGTGTACTCACGTACAAACATCGCATTATTGGGATAAGCATAAGGAACAGTTGCATCCCATAGTGGCTCAGTCAATGAACCTGACTCAACCTGAAGAGAAGTCATAACTCATAACAAAAATTATACATGTTTGCATCAAAATAACCGTTTGTATTTCAAAAAGCCAAGCAGTTCCATACCAGACAAAACAAATGCTGCAACACCAACACATGTAACTTAAAGCCAGGTTTATGAAAGGTATCTGTCAGAACAGCAAAAATTTCTTGTTCAATGGTCAAAAAGTAAGTCCGGTAGAACTGGTTACAGAATTCTGATGCCTGTCAGATAATTACAAATAGTTAGTCCACACTACCAAACCTAATTAACACTAGAAAAGACAATGAAACCAGACTTACTTGAAAGTTCTTGAGCATCTCCAGCAAGAGGAGAAGTCCAGTTTCAGCAATATTTCTTTCAGTGTGCCGAAAAGCCCAAATGATGGAATCCATCACAAGCTTCACTTGCTGATTCAAATCAGAAAGAGTATTACAGTAAAACATAATATTCAAAATTCTGGATTATGGCATTATGCAGTGGGTGAAGTATGACAACTAAGAAGATGACCCACATGGTCCATCTACAGGTGTTAGTGGAGAAACAAACCTCAGTTGACAGCCGAATCAAAGCAGGAAAACAATGAGTAGCAATTGCACGAAGTAACGAAAAGAACTTGAGCCGATGTTCTGGATAGTCCTCAAAATTCTTTGTAATCATCTGATACACGACAAAGGTAAAAAAAGATTATTAGTAAACAGCATTCAGTCATATCTTATTCTGACTGGATATCATTTTGCAGTGTGAGAGCCACACCCCACACCAGTACAACAACCCTCTCACCCACCCCACCCCCCAAAAAAACTCTCTATTCCCCACCCCAAGTTGTGTGAAACATAATTTGATATAAGAATCCAATTACCTCTAAAGTACACTGGAAAACAGCTTCAAATATGCGAGGAACATCCTCTAGCATTGCACCCTTGTACCTGTGGAAGGTAAATGTCGGACACATTTTTTTTACATAAATATAGCACAATACAAATCTTGAAAATTGAACTCTTCGGAACTCTATTTACAAATTGAGAATGCTTCACATAAGGGAGATGGAGATCATAATATCGCTGCTCCAAAGCAGATAAAACCATAGATTGTCATTACCATCTCTTTATTGGGAAGGGGGAGGGGAGGTGTCAAGTAGCTTACTTGTTTATAATAGTGGCAAAAAGAGAGAGAACTTCAGATTCTCTGGCATCAGGTACATTTCGAGCATAATCACCCAGAACTGGGTCCATCATTGGGGGTACAAATTGCTTTCCAATATGCGGTTGACCTTCGGCCTTATCCAAGAATGTATCAATAAGCTTTAAAGTTTCCCTCTTCACCGAACTGGAAGTAAACATAAAAAAAAAAAAAAGTAAGAATATGTATTTAAGACAAGAACTAAAGTTCTAAATAACAGAACCTACCGTAACAGTTTAACAACGGATGTCCGAGAGGCAAACGGCCCTCCTTGTGCAATACTCACTGAGATAAGCTCACTATACATTCTGTTGCAAGACAGTTTCAGCAAACCACCATTAGTTACGTAAAAAGACCACTAGTTTCAATTATTTTGGGACTGAAAGGGAGGGGGAGGGGAATATAATTCATAATCAATTATTTTGGGACTGAAAGGGAGGGGAATACAATTCAAAGTCTATTAGCAAGATACATATGCATACAATCTACAAATAGTTGTGTATTTATGGATGGGTATAAATTAAAAATTAAAAAGTAAAACAAATAGGCAGTAAAGCACTTTGATTTTGTACCTGTACACATTAAGCATGTCCAAAAAGATTAGAGTAATCTGTGGCAAGAAGAATGTTCCAAGCGAGCTGGCAGCACTAGTATTTGTCTACAAGAAAATCATTAAAAGTAACCCCTCTTTTATATTGGACTTAATATTATAGCAGGTAACTCTAGCAGAAGTTGAAAAGAATGATATTAAAATTTAGACCTAAAGAATGAGCAATCACCATAATGCAACAGTAGAAGGAATTGACGATATTTTTGAATACATTGATACGTATGCGGACATGTATAGGTAACTCAAATGTACTAAACAGAAGCCAATGGCTAGTATGTGAATCAGATGGCATCTTCATTAACCAAAATCCCCCTCATATGACAATTGACAACCTAAAAACTATTAACAAAAAGAGAAAATGGTCAAATAGAGCCTTAAACTTTACTCAAAAGGGCAATTAGGCCCTTGAACTTTAAAAAAGTTCAATTAAATGCTCGAACTTGTCATTTTGGAGCATCTAAGCCCATTAGCCAGTTCTTCACATGGAATAACAGGTCATTTAAAATTCGGCGATATTCCGACGAATAAAAAATACTGGCGACGATAAAAAATAATAATAATAATAATAAATCAGGCCTTCTCCACCGGAGAAGGCGACCTCTAGTAGTAGTCACCTTCTCTATTGGAGAAGGCGACCTCTGGTTGTCCTCTCCAATGGAGAAGGCAACCAGATCTGGCCGCCTTCTCCATTGGAGAGGACGACCTCTGATCGCCTTCTCCATTGGAAACGGCGACCCTCTGGTCGCCCGGAGAAGATGACTGGAAATTGCCAAGTTTCGGTGTACAGTGATTTTTTGGCGCGGTCAACAGTGATTTCCGGCAGTCAACGGTGATTTTCGGCGGTCAACATCAATAATTTACCGGTAACCAAGTAAATTAGGTTTATTTGACTCAAAATGACAAGTTCGAGTGTTTAATTGAACTTTTTTAAAGTTCAAGGGCCTAATTGCCCTTTTGAGTAAAGTTTAAGGGTCTATTTGACCCTTTTCTCTAACAAAAATGAATATCAAAATATTCATAGGCAAAATTAGTTAAGGAAATACAAGCAACGTGCACACGGAGAGTAATTCACAAGAAAAACAACTGACTTCTAATCAAAAGATACATCATCCACAACAGAACTAATCAGAGTAATACAAGAGAAATGCAGTCATTAAATACCACATATTGAAATAGATGAAAAGATACGTTAAAGTAGTACCTGTAATATATTAAGTACAGCCCTAATAACATCTTGATCTTTCAAAAAATCTACACTTTGCCGTGCCTGTCCTATAA